GCGGCACCGGCACACCGGGTTCTAGTCCCAGTCGGGGCGCCAGATTCTGTCTCGGTTGCCCCTCTTCCAGGCCAGCTCTCTGTTGTGGCCAGGGAGTGCAGTGGAGGATGGCCCAAGTCCTTGGGCCCTGCACCCCATGGGAGACCAGGAGAAGCACCTGGCTCCTGAAAAAAAAAAAAAAAAGAGAGAGAGAGAAAGAGAGAGAGGGAGAGATCTTCCACCTGCTGTTCACTCCCCAAATGGCTACAATGACCAGGGCTGGGCCAGGCCAAAGCCAGGAGCTCCATCTGAGTCTCTCACACGGGTGCACTTGGGCCATCTTCCGTTGCTTTCCCAGGCACATTAGCAGGGAGCTGGATCAGAAGTAGAGCAGCCAGGACTCAAACCAGAGCCCATAAAGGATGACAGCCCTGCAGACAGCAGCTTTGATGGTGGCTTAACCTGCTAGGCCAGAGCGCCAGCCCCCTAAAAAAGAGTTCTTAAAAAAGGGTACACCTAGGGCTGGCACTGTGGCATAGTGGGTTACGTCACTGCCTGCTGTGCTGGTATCCCATATGGTTGCCAGTTTGGTTTGCAGCTGCTCCACTACCTAACTCCCTGCTGATAGCCTGGGAAAGCAGTAGAAAACGGCCCAAGTCCTTGGGTCCCTGCACCCATGTGGGAGACTCAGAAGCTCCTGGCTTCAGGTCTGCCCAGCTCCAGCCATTGCAGCCATTTGGGGGGTGAATCAGCAGGTGGAAGACTTCTTTCTCTGTAACTCTGCCTCTCAAGTAAATAAATAAATCTTTAAAACAAACAAAAACTGCAGCCCATGGTGGGTGGAGCAGAGAGCCCAAGGCTGCTGGGCCCTCAGATGCTCCACTTCCCGATTTCCACGGCCCCAGTGCTCTCCGCCTCCACTCAGCAGCCTCCTTTCCCGTGAACATACTCTGGACCCTGTATCTCCATTTGAAGCTGTCCGTTTGTCAGCACATCAGCTGATCAGAAGTCTCCCTAGAGCGTCCAGGGCTTTCATTTCCACTCCTACCTTCTAGTCTCTCCAGTCTGGACCTCATGAGCCCTCCCAGCTGCTCTCATCATGTTGCTCCTTGGCCCTGCCCAGTCCCCGTCCTGTCAGGCCCTTGCTGTGGATCTACCTAGTGGTCTGTTTGCTGCTTTTGCTTCAGGGAGGCTGGTGTCTGCTACTAAAAAATACTGTGGCCACACCAGCATCTTATATGGGTACCTGATCAAGTCCCAGCTACTCTACTTCTAATTCAGCTCCCCGCTAAGGCACCTGGGAAAGCAGCAGAAGATGGCCCAAGTGGGTGGGCATCTCCCACCCACGTGGGAGACCCAAGAAAAGCTCCTGGATCCTGGCTTCGGCCTGACACAGCCCCAGCCTTTGCAGCCATTTGGGGAGTGAACCAGTGGATGGAAGATCTGTATAATTCTTTCAAATAAAGAAATAAAATTAACCTTTAAAGTGCACATGGACAGTGACGTTCCCATTGCTTTCCAGGTTTTGCCAACCTACTTGTCCTCCAGAGACCTCCCCCAGACAAGGAATCCAAGCTGTCCTGTGTGATCTGAAGGTTTCACTGCTCCCCCAGCCTCCGTCAATGTGCTCACTGCCCTTTTCATTAAGGGCCCACATTCACTAGGTCACGCACAAGCATTTACTCCTCCCTCCTCATCTCGGAGCATCTGTTTTTATATCCACTCAGCTCTTCCATGCCCTTCTCGGAGGTAGTGACCTTGCCCCAGGCAAGAGAAAAGCACCCTCAGCCTCCAACTCCTGGGCCACCTGCTTTCGCTCCCCACCCTTTTAGGAGTAAGACGGGTTCTCCACTCTTCACCATGATGTGGCGACAAGGGCTGACTTCAGATGAAACTGGAAGGTGATCAAACTAGTATGCCAGCCTCCTCTCCAGGGTCTGCTCTCACCCAGGCCCAGCCTCCAGTATTTCTACAGGCCTCGATCCGCCTGAACTCCTCAGTCCCAGACCAGAGCTTCCTAGCCCACACATGCTAAGCTTTGGCCTCCAGGTCCTACCTGCTTCCAGGGAGCTGGAATGATGTTGACAGCAGACCAGAGTCTCTCGTGCTGTCACCATCGTCTGGGTAGTGTGCAGGATGTGCACAACTGTCGGGAAGGAGCCTCCCCAAAGGATGCAGGCCTGACCCTGAAGGCACTCCTCAGTGAGGGATGATGTCAAGAGCGCCGGATTACTCAAAGGCAGCCCAAGCCACTGCTTAGATCACCAAACGGAACGGCACATTGGGACTTCAAGAATGAAATTTGAACATTAGGAAAATAATTTCATAGTATACCTATGAGGGTTTTTTTAAAATAGGAAATTAGTCACTTTAAAAAAAATGATTTTATTTATTTGAGAGATAGAGAGAGAGGCAGAGAGAGAGAGAGAGGTCTTCCATCCGCTGGTTCACTCCCCAGACGGCCACAACGGCTGGAGCTGAGCCATTCTCTTCCAGGTCTTCCACATGAATGCTGGGATCCAAGCCCTCGGGCCATCTTCCACTGCTTTCCCAGGACATAAGCAGAGAGCTGGATCGGAAGTGGAGCAGCCAGGACAGGAACCAACACTCATAGGGGATGTCGACGCGGCAGGGGGAGACTTAGCCCATTACGCCACAACACAGGCCCCTGAGGGGGTCTTCAAAAAGCTCATGGAAGATGCGTATTAGAAAATATTGGGCATGGATTTCCCCAATTTTTTGAAGTGCCCTCATGGGTGTGTGTGCATAAAACACCAAAGTAGCCATGGTGGACTTCCGTATACATATACTTCTCAGCTCACCACTTTTCTTTAGAACTACCTTTGAAAACAGGGCACCACTCTTTCAGGATGGCGGGCGTTGACAATCTTCTTCTGGTCTTGGTTAGGGTCTCTTTCTAGAAAAAAACCTTCCCCATGCCCAGGTCTACGGTCCACCATGTTGAACCTTCTCAACATACAGCGTAAGTTCCTATCACTTCCCTTACATACTCTCTCCTTGTCTCTATACTGCAAGTCCCTCCAGGATGGGTCCTAGGTATTATTTTTGTATCCTTAACAGCTGTGCCTGGGCCACAGCAGGAACTGAGATGATGGGAACGGCATTGTGCCAGGGGGTTACGCTGCCTGCAATGCCAGCATCCCACATGAGCGCATTGGAGTCCTGGCTGCTCCACTTCTGATGCAGCTCCCTGCTAAGGCACGAGGAAAGCAAGAGCAGACGACGTCACCCAAGTGGGACACCGGCTGGAGTTCCTGGCTCCTGGCTTTGGCCTGGCCAAGTCCTGGCCATTATAGCCATCTGGCCAGTTAAACCAGCAGATGGAAGCTCTCTCTCTGTCCTCCCTCTCTGTAACTCTTTCAAATAATCTAAGAAAGAAAGAAAGCAAGAAAGAAAAGAAAATGGGCCGGTGCCACGGCTCACTAGGCTAATCCTCCGCCTGCAGTGCCAGCACCCCGGGTTCTAGTCCCGGTTGGGGCGCTGGATTCTGTCCTGGTTGCTCCTCTTCCAGTCCAGCTCTCTGCTGTGGCCCGGGAAGGCAGTGGAGGATGGCCCAAGTGCATGGGCCCTGCACTCGCATGGGAGACCAGGAGGAAGCACCTGGCTTCTGGCTTTGGATCCACGCAGCGCACCGGCCGTAGCGGCCATTTGGGGGGTGAACCAATGGAAGACCTTTCTCTCTCTCTAACTCTGCCTTTCCAAAAAAAGAAAGAGAGAAAAGAAAAGAAAATGGCTGATGGAGGAGGACCTGTGGTACAGGATGCTAAGTCACCACTTGGGCTGCCTGTATCCCACATCACAGTCCCTGGAGTCCTGGCTACTCCACTTCACATCCAGGTTCCTCTAATGCATGCCCCTCCCCCGGGGGGGGGGTAGCAGTGATGGCTCAAGTACTTGAGTACCTATCACACACATGGCAGACCTGCGTGCACTCCAGGCTTCTTTCACCTGGCCAAGCCCTGGTTCTCACAGGCAGCTGGGGGCTGAACCAGTAGATGGAAGCTCTCCCTAATCCTGTCATCCCATAGGCATGAGTGCTGGCTGAGTCTCAGCTGCTCCACTTCTGATCCGGTTCCCTGCTAATGTGCCCGGATAAACAGTGGAAGATGCCCCAAGTGCTGGAGCCCTGGCCACCCACATGGGAGACCCAGGTGGAGCTCCAGCTCCTGGCTCCAGCCTGGCCCAGCCCCAGCTGCTGCAGGGCATTTAGGCAGTAGACTAGCACATGGAAGATCTCTGTCTCTCCCTCTCTGTTACTCTGCTTTTCAAATAAAGAATCTTAAAAAAAAAAAAAAAGCTGACAGATTTTATTTTCCTTTCTTAATTCTGTCAACAATAGACAGTTTTCGCAGTAAGAATTTAAAGCAAGCCCTTTAACAGATCCAGAATCCTTTTTAGGCAACTTCCTGGTCGTCTAAGACTCTCAGAGTATTTCCTTGGCCTCTCCACGGCAGCAGACATAAGAATGAACACTGTGTACTGAGAAGTAGCCAAACCAGCCTAAAAAATGTCTGTATTTTGGAGGTGTTTCAGCCTCTGTGAAAATCTACTGAAAACAGATCCTATCCCCCAGGAAAATGCATTTTGTTCCTGGCCCCCTGCAGTACCTGCCATTCCCCAGGGAGCCTCCCAATCCACCCGGCTCTCCCTTCCTCCCACAGCCCCAGAGGTAAGGAACCTTACCCCAGGGGCACTGGGTTCTGATCAGTGTGGCCGTGCTCAGCTGCTCCATCTTCCCGGGTCAGCCCCATTCTCATCTATGCCATAGATCTGCAGCCCACTCATGTCCAAGTGCTGGGGGCCTCCATGGAGATGGCAAATGCTCTGAGAAAGAACAGAGACATTTCACCAAAGTGGGGCTGCAGCAGAGGCAGCAACACGACAGAAATAAGCCACACCAGGCACTAAAAGGGGAATAAGTCGGATTACTCAGCTCCTCTTCCAGAAAGATGTACCTCTTGCTACCCAGTTAACTTCCACTATACCTAGGAAGAAATGAGTTCCAGTCCAAGTGTTTATTATAAAAAAACAACTACTACACACATTCAGTACCTCCAAGCCCGTCCCTGAGGATAACCGTAGAGCCCTTGCTGTTGTAGGAACCCCTAAGAGAAATGGATGCCTGGTTCCTAATACCTTGGCTGATGGCAACGAAAAGCCCTTATAGGGGGTGTGGCATGGAAATGGACGTAAGCTGAGTAAGGAATTCAGCATGGTCTAGCACGTCTACAGAGTAACGGTTAAGCCTGATCACAGCCCCTTACCAAGAACACATACAGCCAGGATCCCTTCAGAGAACCCAGGTAGCTAAGGACCCCCAGAAATTGCAGTCTGGCAGAAAGGGAAGTCCTGAGAGCCCGCAGAACCATGCAAGCCCAGGAAGAGCAGTGCGCACTGCTCTCCACATCACTCCTAAGGTATCCAGCTGCAAGAGCCGCCCCCTGGGGCACTGCACCCCCAGCTCAAACTCCGGGGCCGGGGCAGAAGTGGCCAGGCTCTGCAGCTTCACACAGTGTGGACCTCTGGCTCCTCAGCAAGTTCTGGAAGCTTCTCCATGATGCCTCCTGAGGGCAGCTCCGGAGCTGGCGGGGGCTCCCCGGGGGCTTCAGCCAGCACATAGTAGACAATCTCTCGCTGGCCTTGGGTGTTGGTCTGATTCACCATGTGGATGACAGGGCTGGGGTTGTTCTGAGAGGCTGAGTGGGCTGTCCCCTCACCACCCCTGCTCTCCTCCTCCTCTTCCGCCTCTTCCTTAGATCCTGGCTCCTCTGTCACCGTTTCTAGGATGAGGCCCTGTAGGCTGCTCTCATTCAGTGCTGATCCCAGGCCGGACCCCTCTGGGGGCTGCTGCAGCAGCTGCTGAGTCAGCTCTACACTCTCGTAGCGAACCAGCTGCAGCCGCATGTAGCCGTCTTCATGCTCCTTGTACCTGGGGGAGGAGGAACACAAGGCAGCACACGTGGGCAGGGGATGCCAAACAGCTCACACACAGGGAGCTTAAGGGACAGATGCAGAAGGAATCCTGGGATTTTATGTGACACCATTGAAAACTGACAGACAGTAACCCACCATAAAAGCATTCAAAGGTTTTTAACTTTGGCGCAAAAAAAAAAAAAAAAAAAGACACAGAAAAAAAGTGTGTGAACCTGGAGGGAGGGTTGTTGTGGGACCTACCGAAAACGGGGGTGCCCCGAGGGCCACTTGAACTGATGCTTCTGGCGAAGGTGCACGGTGAGGCTGTTGCCCCGTGTGAAGCACTTGTCACACACATGACATTTGTACCTCGGCTCCGAGTCCCCCTGACAAGGAGAGAGGCAGAAGTGAGGCTGACCCTTGACCCCAGGCTCCCCCACACTTCTGCCAGGCCCACTCCACCCCCAGCCCCTCACCTCGTGCACTTTGCGGTAATGGGACTTGACGGAGCAGAGGGACCGGGCACTGAAGGTGCAGCTCTCGAAATCACACCTGTAGGCTGGCTCCTTGCTGTGCGTTTCCAGGTGTTTCCGGAGGTCGATCAGATTCTTACAGCTGCCAGGAGAGGTGAGGGGGGTTGGAGGACATGGGGACCCTGGAACACGAGCTCTTTTTCTGGGCCCCGATTCCCCTTACCTGTAGTCGCAACAGTCACATTTAAAGGGACGGTCCTCACTGTGGCGGAAGCGCATGTGATTGCGGAGGGAGGAAGGCAGCGGGCAGGTCATGTCACACAGGGGGCACTTATAGTGATTCACTGGGAGGAGCAGAGAGGAGGCTGTGGTTTGAAGACTTGTGGAGCCCTGGAGGGTGGACGGGGAGGCTGGCGTGGCGGGCCACTCACCATGGTTGCGCATATGGTCCCGCAAGAGCCGCTCTGTGGCAAACCTCTTGGAACAGTGAGAGCACTGGAAGCGCTGCTCTGGGGACAGGGCAGGCAATGAAAGGAGGGCGGCGGGGGATGTGGAGAGGAGAGGGAAGAGGAGGAGGACCACCCCAGGCACAAGGGAGCACCCGAGGACAAAGGGGAGCCTAGCGAGCTGTGGATGGACACAGGAGCCTGGAAAGAACGCGGGGCCAGAACAGAGAACCTGAGAGAGAAGCCCGCCCTCACCACTTACTCTCTGTGTGATTTCAGCTGACTGACTTAACCTCTCTGAGCCGCAGCTTCTGCATCTGCAGAAACGGGGATAAGAAGCCTACCTCACGGGGCTGCTTTGAGGGCTCACTGAGATAACTGACGGGCAGTGAGTGCTGAGCGACAGCACCCGGGACTGGCTCAGCACCGAGGCTGTGGGGTGCGTGAGCCCAGAAGGAAGAGGGAGCCAAGCCACAGATCTCTTCAGGGGAAACACGCGCCCACCACGCTCCGGGCAGGGCAACCTGCTCCCACCCCTGCTCTCTGGCTCTTACGATCCAGGGAGGTCTGGCGGCGGATGTGATCCAAGAACTTGGTGTTGTTGGCAAACATGCCCCCGCAGGTGGGACAGGCTACCACCTTCTCCTGGGTGTGGCTGCGGAGGTGTTCTCGAAGCTTACAGCGGTCTTTGAAGGTGCAGGTGCAGCCTGGGAAGGAAGGCCCGGCCAGGTTCCAGTTACAAACTCCCCCAATAGGCTCTACGAGCCCCAACTCTCTCCAGCTGCCAGCCAAGCTAGCCCTGCAGGACTGGCCCGCTCCTTGGCTGCCCTGGCCCCTGGCCACCCCAGGGTTTCTTTCAGGACCCAGAAGTTAAAGACAGGCCCTACCTTTCCAGCCACACAGCACCACATGGTTGTCCTTGCCAACTGCTTTGTATTCATAGCACAGGCTGTGCGCTTCCACGTGCCGATAGAACCACTCAGGGTTGTCAAAGGTGCTCTGTGCCAGAGGCAACTCAAGGTGAGAACTGAGGTAGTGGAGGGACCCTTACCACCATGTGCCCAGAGGGGTTTCCTGGCTCTCTCCCAAATTAACTGGGTAGGGATAGAAAGTTAGAGGAAAGGAGCTACACGGAGCTAGGGCAGAGGCACTAGCAGGAGCTGTGGTAAGATAACCACCCCTAAGAAAGTCAAGACAGCTTGAGTCAGGACTCCCAGACCCCCCCCCCCCCCCCGCCATGACTGGCACTGCTCACTGACCTCACAGTACTCCCACAGACACAGGAAGTGGTCAGGGATGTCAGGGATGATGTTCCGGCTCTGGAAGTCCAAGATGCAGGGGCTGAGATCTGCCTGGCTTTGCAAGGCCTGCAGCCCCCACTGCTTCAGCTTGGTGTGGTAGCAGTGGAAGTAGACGTGGCGGATGAGATCAGCAGAACTGTCCAGAGAGCAAAAGCCGCACTCCTGCCACAAGCAGGAGAATTCTTCCCCTGCAAAGGGTTTAGAAGGAGAGTCCAGTCCTTTCCTGGGGTCAGCATTCTCTCCACCTGCAGCACTTGGCAGGGAATAAGGCCAGGCGCTTACCAAATTACCAGGAGTTCCTTCAGCAAATACCATCACTTAATGACCATCCACTGTGCACCAGGCACTAAGGACGTAACCAGCATGACAGAGTACCAGTCCTTGCCCTCACACAGCTTTCAGTCAAGGAAAAAAGAACATTACTCAATCATCACATCTACAAAATAAAACTGCAACTAGTAGTGATAAGCGTGATGGGGTAGGGGCCCACGGTACTATACAATTATGAAGCAGAGGTAGCTGGACACAGACAGGGGTGTCTTGAGAATTGCCCTCATGCTGAGATCTGACGGATGCGTATCCGCAGTAAGTGAAGGGCAGGTGTGGTGGAGGCAGAGGTAACTGCAAACTCAAGGCCCGAGCTCAGAGCCGGCGGGTGTGGCTGGCACCACAGACTCTGGCTCACAGTGCCCACTGCCCCTGAGGAAGACGCAGCCTCCTCTGTCCCCCCACTTCCCACTCAAGAGCTGCTTTCTCCAGGAAGGCCCCAGCAATGGTTCCAATCCACTTCCAATATCTCTAGCATCTCCAAGCAACTTAGCTTCAAAGCTTTATAGAAATGGTGTCTCAGCCAGCGCCGTGGCTCACTTGGCTAATCCTCCGCCTGTGGTGCCGGCACCCCAGGTTCTAGTCCCAGTTGGGGTGCCGGGTACTAGTCCTGGTGCTCCTCTTCCAGTCCAGCTCTCTGCTGTGGCCCAGGTGCTTGGGCCCCTGCACCCGCATGGGAGACCAGGAGGAAGCAGCCGGCTCCTGGCTTCGGATCAGCACAGCGCTGGCCATGGCAGCCATTAGGGGAGTGAACCAATGGAAGGAAGACCTTTCTCTCTTTCTCTTTCTCTCACTGTCTATAAATCTACCTGTCAAATAAAAAAAAAAAAAAAGAAAGAAAGAAAGAAAAGAAAGAAATGGTTGTCTCAAAAAGTAGAGGGGCTGAAGTCATGGTGTGGCTGGTTAAGCTGCTGCCTGCGACACCAACATTCCGTATGGGTGTTGGTTCGAACCCCAGCTGCTCCACTTCAGATCCAGCTTCCTGCTGGTGGAGCTGGGAAAGTGGCAGAGGATGGCTCAAGTGCTTGGGCCCCCACACTGACATGGGAGACCTGGAGGAAGTTCCTGGCTCTTGGCTTCAGTCTGGCTCAGTCCTGGCTGTTGCAGCCATTTGGGGAGTGAACCAGTGGATGGAAGATGTCTCTCCCTCTCTCTGTAACTCTGCCTTTCAAATAAATACATTAATTAAAAAAAAAAGGTATGTATTTTAGAAAATATGACCATCCTCTGATTGTTCTTTATTACTTTTCAAACTATCAGTTATAGCTTAGTCACAGAATCTCGGGTTGGGGAAGGAGAGTGGTCCCCATACTTACAAGGTCTCCTACATGGGTGACAGGGCACTAAGCACCTGGTTCATCCTCTACTGCTTCCCAGGCACACTAGCAGGGAGCTGGATCAGAAGTGGAGTAGCATAGGCTTAAACTGGTGCTCTGATATAGGATGCAGGTGTTGAAAATGGCAGCTTAACCTGCTGTGCCACCAGAAAGTACCCCCTCCCCTTTAAATAAAGGAGCACAAGGGGGGCGGGTGTTGTGGTGCAGTGGGCTAAGCTGCTGCCCACAATGCCAGCATCCCATGTGAGTGCTGGATCAAGTCCCAGCTGCTGCACTTCCAATCCAGCTCCCTGCTAATGTGCCCGGGAAAGCAGTAAAGGATGGTCCAAGTAGTTGGGCCCTGCCACCTGGATGGAGTTTCTGGCTTCAGCCTGGCCCAGACCTGGCTGTAGCAGCCATCTGGGGAGTGAAACAGTGGATGGAAGCTCTCTCTCTTTCCCTGTCTTCCCCTATCTCTCTGTGACTCTGCCTTTCAATTAAATAAATAAACCTTAAAAAAAAGAGAGAGACAGACAGTAAGGGACAGGCATTTAACCTAGCAATTAAAATGCCAGTTAAGACACCATGTCTCACATCAGAGCACCCAGCTCTGCTCCTGACTCCAGCTTCCTGCTAACGCAGACCCTGGGAGGCTACAGTGATGGCGCAAGTGACTGGGTTCCTGCCTCCTGCATAGGAGACTTGGCTTGAGTTGTTGGCTCCCAGCTTCAGCTTCAGCTTCTAGCCTGGGATTACTGCAGCTTCGGGGAAGTAAACCAGCAGATGGGAGCTCTCTCTGTCTGCCTCTCATATTAGAGAGAGAGGCAGACAGACATTGCAGACAGTATTTAGTAAGTATTGTTCCTGGTATTTTTTTTCCTTTAATTTTTGTGTTGTAAAATATATATTGCAGGGGCCAGCGCTGTGGCGTAGTAGCTTAGGCATCCACCTATGGTGCCAGCATCCCATATGGGCAACTAGTTCGAGTCCCAGTTGCTCCACTTCCAATCCACCTCCCTGCTGATGGCATGGGAAAGCAGAAGATGGCCTAAGTGCTTGGGCCGCTGCACCCATGTGGGAGAGCCAGAATAAGATCCTGGCTTCTGATCAGCCCAGTTCCAGCCATTGTCGCCATTTAGGGAGTGAACCAGTGGATGGAAGACCTCTCTCTTCTTCTGTAACTCTGCCTCTCAAGTAAATAAATAAAATCTTAAATACATGCATATGCATGCACACACACACACATCCTGTGCCACAGTGCCTGTTCTGAGTCCAAGCTATTCTGCGGCCCATCCATGTACCTGCTGATGCGCATCCTGGGAGGCAGGTGATGGCCCAAATGCTTGTGTTGCTGCCACCCGCATGGGAGACCTAGATACAGTTCCTTGCTCCTAGCTCCTAGCTTCAGCCCTGGCTCTTGCAGGCATTTGGAAAGTGACCCAACAGATGGACCATCTCTCTTTCCCTCCTTCTCTCGCTCTACCTTTCAAATAAATAAATAAATCTTTATATTTCTGTATTTATCTAGATACATAAACACACACACACACACAGATACCCCTAACTGGTGGCTGCGGGAGAAGAGGAGGGGGTTGGAGAGAGGAGCACTCCCAGAGTTAAAGAGAAAGGGTTGCCAACCGCTTCTACAGTATGAGCTTTTTACAAAAAACAAAATCTGCATCTAATTTAAGTACACAAATGCAAGAGAAGGCAAAAAGAATGTTCACTAAAGCAGTGTAACTGCCTCTTGATGGCAGATGCACTCCCTATATCCTTTTGTTGACTGAATTGTCTATAAATAAATTTACAATGTTTTTATAACCAAAAAAAGCACAATATGGAAAATAAGCCTCCATTCTCCCAGGCTGTCCTCTCCCTTTGGGGAAAGGAAAGTCAATTTCCCATCTTCCTTTTAGCTCTTTCCCCTTCCTGTGTCCTGCTCCCTTACCAAGCGGGTCATCCTCCTCTTCCTCCTCCCTGGAACCATGCAGGTGCTGTTGCAGGTGCTGAGTGACATGCTCGCAGAATTCCTCCATGGCTGAGCACACAGAGGAGCAGGACCCCCACTCACACTGGAGCCCCAGGTTCTCCTTCCGGGGCACCTTCCCAGCAGGTGGCATGGCCTTGCTGTGGAGGGAGAGGAAGAAGTACATAGCTGCAAAGATTCCACCCAGTGCTGCTGGGGCAAACAGCTGGGCAGGCAGCCTGCCTAGAATCAGCAGGTGTGTTTCCAGTGAGGATGGAATAGCAGTTCTTCAAATTCCTGGAAGCTATCTGGTGTTCTTGAAAAAAGGGAACAGAAACTAACACTATCCAGTTTGTGCTAGGCAGTAAGCTAAACACTTTAACAGACATTTCCTCTTGAAGTTTCAGAGCAACCCACCAAGAAGGAATTATGCTTTAGGCAGGAAGAACAACACTCAGGTTCAGAGACAACTCTGGAAAGGAATCAGAATTCAAATCCAGACTCTACTGTCTACCACCTACTAGCTATGTGACTTTGGCCAAGAACTTAACCTTCAACTTTTGAACATTCTTTTCTGCAAGATGGAGCTAATAGATCCTTTTAAAGTTTATTTATTTATTTATTTTCATCTACTTGAAAGGCAGAGCAATAGAGAGAGAGAACTCCCACCTGCTAGTTCATTCCCCCAAATGCCTGCAACAGCCACAGCTGGGCCAGAAACCCAGCACTCCATCTGGGTCTCCCAAATGGGTGGCAAGAGACCAAGCACTTAAGCCATCATCTGCTGCCTCCCAGGATGTGTTACCAGGAAGCTGGATTGGAAATGAAGTAGCCAGGACTCAAACCGGCACTCCAAAATGGGATACAGGCAACCCAAGCAGTTGCTTAACTTGCTATACCACGATGCCTGTCCCTAAAACCTTTTATTTTTAATTTCACAGCTACTTTATGTCAAGCACCATCTTAAACATTTTATTTGTATTACATCCTTTAATTACCAACCATGCTAATAGGTATGTACTATTTTTAATCTCCTTTATAGACAAGGATCTGAAGTTAGGTGATGTGCACAAGGTCACACACTGGTGGTATAGCAAGGTCAAACAAAGCTCACCCTAAAGTCCTCAATCTTCCTATTGGACACAGCCTGCAGATGGGCCCCAAATCTGCTTACTTCTCATAGCATCATGTCTTAAGTTCTCTGTCAGACTTCACACTTTCAAAGTGTCACACAATCTGCCCCTGCCTAACTAGCCAACGATTACCCAGCACTCCCAAACACCCTGTTGAAACGTAGATTCCAGGGGCAGGTGTTTGGCCAGTGGCTAAGATGCCGCTAGGATGCTCCCACCCTCTATGGAAGGGCCTGGGCTGGAGTGCCTGCTCCACTTCTGATTCCAGCTTCCAGCTTCCAGCTTCCCACTTCCCCACTAATACTGATCATGGGAGGCAGCAAGTGATGGCTCAAATATTTGGGTTCCTGAAGTCACCCATGTGTGAAACCTAGATTGAGTTCTGAACTCCTGTCTTCAGCCTGGCCCAGCTTCGGCTGTTGACTGCATTTGGAGAGTGAATCAGCAGACAGAAGATCTCTCTACCTTTCAAATAAATGAAAATTAATGTAAAAAAGATTTTGTAAAAGAGTCACCCTTGGGGCCAGCACTGTGGCGTAGAAGGTTCAGCCTCTGCCTGCAGTGTCGGCATCCCATATGGGTTCAAGTCCCAAGCTGCTCCACTTCTGATCCAGCTCCTGGCTGATGTACCTGGGAAAGTAGCAGAAGATGGCCCAGGTACTTGGACCCCTGCACCCACGTGGAAAACCCAGAGGAAGCTCCTGACTCCTGGCTTCAGATCAGCCCAGCACTAGCCGTTTCAGCCATTTGGGGAGTGAACCAGTGGATGGAAGACCTCTTTCTCTGTCTCTCCCTCTCTCTCTGTAATTCTGACTTTCAAATAAATCTTAGGAAAAAAAAAAAAAAAAGAGTCAACCTTTGTTGCGGTTGATTTGTTTCTGAGAGGAAGAACGTGGTGAGGGCAAGAGGCGCGGAGTCACTACACAGACCGCAGGAATCTGGTGAAAGCAGGCCTGAGACGAGCAGCCTGCAGACTCGTTTATTTCAGTTGATACAGCAGCTTATATAGCCAAGGCAGCCAATCCGGTCAAGGGGCAGTCTATGCCCTAACCAATCACATCCTGTTGCCAGGCAGTTTCTGAAGCCATCCAATCACAGCCTGTTGCCAGGCAGTTTCCGTTGCCAGCGGCCATCTTGGCATGGCCTTCTCATTCCACATTTCCCCCTTTTCCTTTATTTTTGAGCAACGGGAGGCATGATTCTTGGCCATACCATTGTTGACCCCGCTTCCATGTGGTCTCCATACACGGCTGTGCCTGTCTTAGGTTGTCCTCCAGGGGATCTTACCCATCATTGACTAACCAGCGCTCAAAACGGGAGACCACAGGAGTGCTTGCTCAGATGGGGGTAGGAATGAGGAACAATGGTAATCAGGTTGGCATGACTGCACACAGGCTGTGGGCTGTTCGAGTGGCTGACCAGAGCTAGTGGGGTATAAAACAGTAATGGATGTGGCTACAGTTCCTCAGGGTAGGATGATAGGGCAAGTACATCCGCTAACAAGGTGGGCTCTCAGTCTTGTTCAGCTGGTTCTGGTTGGCTATCAGTTGTAGGCTTGATGTTTCTGGCTGGTACACAATGGGCTGTCCCGCATTCTCTGGAAAGACACGCATATCCTCGACCCTTGGTTAGCAGACGCCTTTTTACAGGCGTTGGAATCCAGGGTCTGAATTTTGCCTCCACTCCTACATTTATGGCAAACATGCGGGTGGGATGGGGTATAGCAGCTACCCTGAGAGCCTGGGGTGCCTGGGGACTGCCACAAATGTGGGGATCCTCACTGGGTGCGGATGGGATGACCTCGCATGGGTTATTGCCTCGAGGTCGTCTTAAGTTCATCCCACAAGTATTTGGGGGGTGGCTGACCAGGCATTGCTGTACCAGAAACCTTTAAAAACAAAACATAAAGAAGACCTGTCTCATTTACACTGCACCCGAGGTACCTATAAATTGCTAGACAAACTTAGGCATATAATAACTATTTGTTAGAGAGAGAGACGATTATAAAACTAAATGTTTTCAATGCTTACTATACACACAAATAGGGTTCTCCAGTCCCTCCCCCTAGAAGTTCAGATTCAGCAAAGTGGCAGGTGAGCCTAGAAATCTGCTTTTAAAACTCAGCATTCAGTTTTGATCCAGGCAGTACCAGCAGCATACTTCAAGAAACGGCAAAAGTTTCTCTCATTAAAAAAGAACACAGAAAAAAGGATGACACTGGAACCTAAAGTTCTGGGAGGAGAGAAAACAATAAAAGCCTTGACTGTGTCCCCTGAATGCCACCTTCCCCTAGGGGATCTCACTGCCCCCACCCTAGCAGACCCTGGAAGGGAACAGGGCACGGCCGACTCTGGCCTACCTGAGACTGATGAGGACTCTGTAAAAGGCCTTTACTGAATATTAAGAGGAATAAAATAAATGAAATAAAATAAGGTCATAAATCCTTCATGCCTCCAAGTACAAGGCTCTGAACCTACTCTATCTGCTAAACCTACCCAGTCTTTTCTCCTCCTCAGAGAAGAATCAAGTCACCGGGACACTGGATTAGACAAGGATTGCAGGGCTGCTCCTAGGCTTTATTAGGAGAAAACGTCTACTGCTTTCATAAAGTTGGGGTAGGGAAAGTCTCCCTAAGCCAGACATAAAATCCCAAACTTCCTCTCTACCACTTACAGTATGGAAAATGCAAGACTTTCCAAACTAGCTTCAACTTACTTCTCCAGAGTCTGGGTGTGGAAATTCACACCCACGAGGGCCCAGGTAACGTTAGCCCTGCCATGACCCCGCTCCACATGTCACTACACTACTCTGAGAGGGCCCTGATTCTGATCCAAGGATCACACCCCCTCACCACCACCACACCATGCTGCTTCTCCAGCTTCTTCTCCCTTGCCTCTCTGATTCACTCTCCTGAAACTCTGCCGAAGCAGCAGCTCATCCTTCAGACCCCAAGGTCCCTTCCTTGGTCTCCCTCTCCCCAGTTCACCAGGTCAGCTGGAGTTTCCCATCTCCTGCCCACAGCGTCCCGTAGACCCCTTCACTGCAGCGCTTGCTCCAACGCAACAGAAAGCAGTCTCCCTAGACTACACGTTTCACAGGGCAGGGACCAGCACAGAGCTCCGTAGGCCCCAGTGCTCACAGGTCTCGGATGATCATATTCCAGGAAGCCCTCCTAAACTATGCTACTCCTCAGTAACAACTCTTTGGCCTTCTGGTTCTAGGGCTGGCACTGTTGACAGACATCATAAAACCTCAACCCAATTAGGACACCATGAGGATCACTCATGGTCTTTTTATGTGTTCTGTTCCTGTTTACACAACTGGGCTATAAGCTGTTTCTGAGTAGAGGCCCCAGCAGGTGCATCTGGGTCTCTCCACGGTGCCCACAGTGCTGAGCACAAATGTTCTAAACGCGTTCCCACGGTGGGGTTGGGTGGGAAGACCCAGGAAGCTGGCTACCTAGTGACAGGGAATGACCTGACTTAGGCAAAGCTTCCTGACTTCCTCTTTTTCTCCCTGTGTCCCTAGAGACACAGGAGAGATGTGCGACAGAACTATGTCCCACACTGCCCCATCTGTAGATGAACGATGCAAATGATGCAAACAACATACGGGAGAGCTCTGCACCAGCCGTCAGAGATCCGGGTTCCAGTTTTCTGTCTCAGCGAATCTGCTCTATTTATTTACCTACCATATCCAAACACCGCTCTAGGTGTTTCATGTGTATAAAAACCCTTTAATACAACACTCTACCGTGTTAGCTATTATTATTATCCACTGCACCAGTGAGGAAATGGGCCCAGGTAGGTGAAGTAATTTAACCAGGGTCACAACGCTAGAAGTGGAGACAACAGAGAGCCAGGGAGTTTGGCTCCATTTTCCTCCCACTGTTGCCCCTCTTAGGGTACCCGAGTGCCCCACCCACAGACATGGTCTCTGCACACACAATATCCAGACGCCTTTTAGCAAGCAGCTCCTTCGTCAAGCCCCTCCAAGTTGTAACCTGCTGCACAGCCTGGCCTGTGCCCTCTTCAGTTCCACCCGCAGGGTCATCAAACACCTCCTAGGAGCTACGGTAGTTCTAGAACTAGCTACTGTATTTTAGAAAAGCCACTCAGCTTCTCTGAACCTGTTTCTTATTAAGAATGAGATACCAGTTTCAGTGATGGTGTTAGATGCAGCTAACCTGCTCACGAAGCAACATTTACTAACCGTAGGGACCTTCCTTAAGCCTGGGTTTCCAGTGTAGCACGGGAACCATTGTATCTCACTGAACTGGGGGCGGAAGTAGACAATTGATATCAAAATACTTCGCATGGCACAAAAACTCCACACGTGCTGGCTGTGAGTACGCTCGTTGCGGCTGAGGGCTGACCTGAGCGGACTGCTGCGAAGGACCCAACAAAAGGGCAACCCGGGACCCGAGCCTCCCTCCCTTCGCTCGGCGGTCACGGTAAGAAGCGATCAGCAAACACTTGAGAGCGTGCACTGTAGCGCAAGGCACCGAGTGAGCCCTGAGTGGTCTCCAGGAAAGGGAAGGACTTGGGTCCTCATCTCCCAGACTCCCAACTCGGCCAAGTCCTGGGAAGACCAAAACAAAGCGCCCGGCGACAGAGCTCAAGGCAGAGAAATCCCCGGGACAGGGACGCTTCCCCTCCGTGGCGGGAGCACGTCTCGCGGACGAGAACCCGAAAGAGGGCAGGAAGCCGCTCCGGAGGGCAAAGCCTCTCACCCCAGCCCCGCAGCCCTCCCGGGACCCGTCCCTCTAAAAGCGTGGCACTGACCGAGTCTCGGCGTGAAGCCCCGACCCGGGAGGGCACCGAGGTTCGAATCCGGGTGGGCGCCACAGAGAACCAGCGTGCTCGAGCCGCTGGAAGGAGCCTCGCCGAAGCGGCCCAGGAAGAGCTCGGCCTCCTGCAGCCGCCGCGGGACGCACCGCCTCCAGGCCGCCAGGAGCGAGCACCGAGCCCCAGCTCACCGCCCGCCAGCGCCGGCTCTCTCCTCCTCCTACCTCAGACAGTCTCCTGAGAGAGAGCTTGAGCGACGGGCAGCGCTAGCCAATCGCCGCTCCCAGATACTACTGACAGCCAATGGCCGCTGCGTCTGACGGAAACCGTGCGCACCAAAACACGGAAGGGGCGGGATCGTGGGTAGAGCTCGGCGTTCGGAGCGCTACCGAGGGGTTGCCGGATGCGGGGAAAGGTAGCGCGGGCCCTCGGGGCTCCAGACCGCTCGCAGGCTTGGCGCCCAAGGGCCTGAATTCCCCCATCTGCGCAGACTCGGCGTGCGGGCCCAGTGGGCATGCGCGCGGCTTGGTCTGGCCCCTCTGGGGGATCTGCCTGGTCCCATGGGCAGCGCGGAGGCGGGGACGTGGGCGGCTCTGCCCCACCTGCGTCCTTCACCCTCTTAGTCTTGTCTCCCAGATATTGGTGTTCCTGAGCCAGCTTCTCTCTGCCCCGCGCGGCCGGTGAACAACCTTGCCATCCCTCCGCTGTCTGGGGCCGGAAACCTGGCCGGCATCTTTGATTTCCCCCCCTGACCCGCCACATCCGTCAAGTGCTGTGGATTCCACCTCCGCGAGCACAGGACCTCTCACATTCATCTCCCTCATATTCCCATGCCCCCCGAGGTCCGTGAACCTGTCCCCGCTGCGTGCACTCTCGCTTCGCTCCAGAACATTCTCCGGAGCGCTCGCAGCGAGCTGACAACTGGCGGAGTCCCCGTTCCCTAAACAACTCAGGCTTTCTAGACCCTGCAGCAGCTGGGCGCCGCCTGCTTCTGCGGCCACTTGAGTCCTTTTCAAGCTCACGTCCCGCTCTGTGCTGCTTGCCTAGAACATTCCTCCCCCTCTCCCCCAACCCCGTCTTTCACTTGATTCCCACTCATTTCTTCTGGGCTGAGAGGAGACCCGTGGTTCTCCAGGATGGGGTCCTTGAAATCCTTTCCCTTACTTTCCTTTGCAGCTGTATCGCATTGAGTGATATTTGCCTGGTTCCCCGTCTGCATTCTGCACTGGACCGACCGGTCAGTGAGGGAGGCAGGGACTGTATGTGTGTTCTTTGTAACTCCCTTATTTATCCCAGGGGCTGAAACACAGGATTCAAGACATATATGCTAAAGAAATTGTATACTTTAGTTAGGATCGATACTTTGTTGCATTATTATTTTCTATGTCGTCTAAAAATAAACCTATGTAATTTATATAATCCGGAAACACATTAAGTAATCAATATAGATAAAATGAATTTAAAGATGCCATTACAGATGGAAGGCCAGGTTTGTGCGTGAGTTTTGTTTTTAACAACAGTGAATTATAGCTGGGTTCCTATTTTAAAATAGGGCTTAAAAATATAATTCCAAAAAAATTATTTTCTCTTTATTCATTCAGAAGTACATAGTTGTATGTCATGAAATGCCAATCTTATTTTAATTCAGATTTACATTTTCTTTCTGAAAGGTTTATTTATGTATTTCAAAGAGATACAGTGAAGGAAAGGCAGGGAAAGAAAGAGAGGTCTTCCATCCACTGGTTCACTCCCCAGTTGGCCACAACGGCCGGAACTGGGCTGATCTGAAGCCAGGAACCAGGAGCTTCTTCCAGGTCTCCTACGTGGGTGCAGGGGCCCAAGCACTTGGGCTGTCTTCCACTGCTTTCCCAGGCATATTAGCAGGGAGCAGGATTGGAAGTGGAACAGCTGGGACACAAAACAGCACCCATATGGGATGCCAGGGCTGCAGGTGGGTTTTACTAGATACGCCAGGGCACTGGCCCCCAGATTTACATTTCATCCATACTGAAAATGGCTCTCAGCTTCTTTAAAAACTACCACAAAGGGGTAGGCTCTTGACAGAACAGTTAAGCTGCCACTTGGGGTGCCTGCATCCCATGTGACAGTGCCTGGGGTCAAGTCCTGGTTCCATTTCCACTTTCTTTTTCTTCATTTTTAATTTTTATTGATTGATTTGTTTATTTGAAAGGCTGAGTTACACAACGAGAGAGGAGAGGCAGACAGAAATCTTCCTTCTGCTGGGTGACTCCCCAAATGGTTGGTAACAGCCAGGGTTGGGCCAGGCTAGAGCCCAGAGCCTCCTCTGGGTCTCCCATGTGGGTGCAGGGGCCCAACGACTTGGGCCATCCTCTGCTGCTTTCCCAGACACATTAGCAGGGAGCTGGGTCAGAAGTGGAACAGCCAAGACCTGAACCGCAGCCCGTTTGGGATGCTGGCATCGTAGGCAGCAGCTTAACCCACTATACGCCACGGCACTGGCCTCCTGGCTCCACTGCTGATTGTAGCTTCCGGCTCATGTGCACCCTGGGAGGCAGCCCATGATGGCTCAAGCACTTGGGTTCCTGTCATTCATGTGGGAGACCTAATGGAATTTCAGGCTCCTGGCTTCAACCTGGCCCAACCCTGGCTGTTGTGGGCATTTGGGAAATGAACCAATAGATGGAAGAAACTTTCTCCCTTTCAAATGAATAAAATATTTTTAAGAACCTACTTAAAGAGAAAAATCTGCCACAAAAAGTTAAAAGATAATTCATTCTTATTAAAAGCTGTGGGTTTCCCCTGTGAGATGAGTCAAGTTGATGGAATTATATTTTGTATTCTTTTGCATTTTTTTAACTTTTAAAAAAATTATTTGATGAGCAGTTAGAGATATCTTCCATCCATTGGTTCATTCCTCAAATGGCCACAATGGCTGGAGCTGGGCAAAGCTCAAACTGGGAGCCTGGAACTCCAACCTCATCTCCCAAATGGGTGGCAAGGGGCCAACTACCTGGATCATCCTCTGCTGCCTTCCCAGGCACATTAATAGGGAGCTGGATCAGAAGTGGAGCAACCGGGACTTGAACTGGCACCCGTATGGGATGTTGGCATCACAGGTGGCAACTTAACCCACTATGCCACAATGCCAGCCCCTTTTGCATTCTTTTTAAAAATCTCTATTTTTGAAATATGGTCAGGCTCTTCACTGTAAAATATGTGATTGCTTTGAGCCATGGGCCCCCATCACTGAATGGATACAGTCTCTGGTTACCGTCTGCTCAGTCCCCAGGTAGAGTGGAAATCTGAACACTTGGCCTCCCATCAACCAGAGTTTCTCATGAAATTACAAGTTCAGTGGATGTGGCTGTCCTGGGACACTGATACACACACTGCTCCTCTGTGAGCCACCAGGAGTGCAGCATTTCTTAGATTAGGGGAAACAGTCTGAAACATCAGCTTTCATGACCTAATGCTTAGCATATATATAAATTACAGCCAGCTAGCCATACCCTGCCACTCTTTGCAAATATCCCATATTCTGTGACTCATATGGAGGGGCACTTGGGGAATAGTAACAAATCTTCAGGCTACCCCAAGGCACATGCCATGTTAGGTAGGTAAGTCACAGAGCGTCAGCAGAATGGTGATCCAGATGAGGAAGCTGCAGTCCAGAGAGGGGAAGTGCCCTGTGTAGGGTCGCTTGCACCCAGTTTGTGGCAGACTCAGGTTCCCTGCCCACTGGGCCCGTGCTTGGATCGACATGCTACAGCAGCTCGCCTGGCTCAGGGTCCCGGAAGACAGGACCTGGGGACACAGAGTTTGCCAGTAACTATGACTCCCTACTGAAAGTCTTTTTATTATGACAATTGTTCAACTTCCTCCTCCTAATCTGTCTTGTCTGAGGCAAGAGTGGACACTTCTTCAGCCCTATGTGCAACAGAGTGCAGCTGCTCAGCTACTTCTCCCCACTGAATGACAACTACTGTTGTCACCGTCCCCATTTTACAGATGGGGACACAGAGGCCCTCGGCGTTTACTCCCATGATCCCACAGGTGAACAGTGGAACTGGGACTCAAACCCGGGCCGTGTAGTTCCTGAGCACACGCTCTGAACTTCCGCAAAGTGGCCTGTGAGGAAGGGGAACGAAGATGCCTGCGGTCCCTGGTTGATTTTTTTGCTGCAACTTCGGGAGTCTGTCCCACCCCTCTCTCTCCATAGTCCTTCTCTGTGGGAGCTTCTTAGCAGACCCACTATGTGTCAGCTGCCCTATTTCACCATCCAGGCCCCTTTCTCTCACCATCCACACCCTCAGCATCATCACCTCACTGCCTGTTTGCCTTTCAAAGGATAACCAGCTGTCCAGTTTATAAACTCCAATTTGACTTTAATTTAATAAGTTAAACTCCAACCCATCACACAGCAATGGACTTCATCGTCTCCCGACACACAGAGGTGCACCTTGCTCTCGCTCCATCATCAGTCTTTACATAAAGCCCTCAGGCCATCTCTCTGGGGAAGGTTTCCCACCAGGCTCCTGGCTCCCTCCTTCCAACCGAGCCATTGCTCATGGAGAAGGCATCAAGTACAAAAACGGTAAGAAAGGGGAGGGAGGGGCGAGGAGCAGAGGGGAGCAGGGTGGTGGGGAGTACCTGCCCCCCATCCCGGGCACCGGCCCGGCTTCCTGTGAGCTGCCAACGCCCTCAGAGGCAGACACTGGTGCTGGTCTGAGTGGGGACCTGAGGGAGGCATGGGAGCCCCATCCTGAAGGGACTTGCCTATCCTCTTGGGACAGAAAAGAAGGGCCACCTGGGAGATGCCCTCTGTCACCTGTTCACTGAGGGTCCTCGACCACACATATAAATAAAAAAGAATAAATAAGGGAGGAGGAGGGGGCGGCCTGGGACTCTGCTTAGGGCCCAGAGTCAGCAGGAGGCCAGCACAACTGAGTGATGCTGCACGTGCCAGGACAGAGTCTGCCGCTGCCCCCCGCTGCCAGCTCCCACTTCTGTGTCCTTGGCAGGGGATGCCCACTTCTCAAGTGCTTCCCGCTGCAGGGACCCTTCCAGCTGGCCCCACGGCCCAGGGTGGACAAGGCTTCCTGGAACCCAGAGGGCCTTCCTGGCCCCTGGCACTGGGAATCCAGGAAGGGGTATGGAAGGGGATGTGGGAAATGGGCTGAGAGAACTCTCGCCCTCTCCTAGCGCAGGAGGTGAGGAGGGCCCTCAGAGCTGGGGGCTGGGGTTGCCATTGGCTTTGGGTTTGGATTTGAAGGAAAAACGCTTGATAAGGCGGCGAGAAAAGCTGCCGGCCTTCTTCCGGACACTGGGCGTGGCCGTCGTGTTGGAGAGGTCATCGTGTGATTGGCTCAGACCAGCTTCCTTCTGTCGGGGTCTCCGGCGGAAGATGAGCTTTGTGCCACTGCGCAGGAAACTCACTGTGGGGGGATAGGGGAAGCTGAGGCAGACAGAGGGGCTGGGGGAAGGACGGGGACGCAGGGAAAGGACAGAGGTTGGAGGGGCAGGTGGAGTGGAACAGCACCAGTCCTTTGGCCTGAAGCCAGAGCTCTCAGGGAAAGGAAGCGCTCTGCGGTCCCGAGGAAGAAATGCAAGTGAACGTTGGAGTCTGTGTGCACTACCACCTCTGCCCCCGCGAGGAACCTCAGGGGCCGTAACAGGGAGGACAGACACTGGGCCTCTCTCCTGTGAGACAAAGGCTAAGCAGAGGGTGTTCTCCAAAGCCTCTAAATCATAAAAGGGGAGGTGGGTTGACACTGACTTGTTCACGGAATTCCAGGATGTGAACAGGAAGTGGCACCTCCGGGGACTTCAGAGAGGTGAATTCAGGACCAATAGGATGAGGGGCTTATACAGCAGGCTTTGGACTTAGGGACCCCATTATCTCAGAAAGGGACACAGGCTTGCATCCGCGGTCGACAGGCTCATTGGTAGAAAGATGAGCCTGTTTGGGGGAAGCTCCTCACTCTCTGAAGTGCCAGAGCTGTCCCTAGCCTGTGTCATTGCTGGAGGAACAAGTCTGCGGTTGGCCTGGGGTAGGATTTCTTCCATTCTTTGGGATGGAAGTAGGGAGTAAATGGGAAGAAAGGATGAGTGGGAAATAAAGGGAGATGACCTGAAAGCCTTTCCAGTGACCCAAGCCCGTCGGAGCCAGGCCAGGAACTAAGGCACCAAGTTCCCCTCTCTGCTGTAGCTTGGCTGAACCTGGCTGGGAAGTCTGGCTGATCTTTCAGGGGAGGTAGGAGAAGACATGTTTGCCGGAGGCTCCCATGACCCTAGGTGTCCAGCAGAACCCAGGTCATGACCCTGGGTCTAAAGGGGGAGTCACCTGCCAGCATGTCCCCACCTTTGTGATCCTTGAGGCTGCGCGTCTCCAGGGCACCAGTGGACCCTGTTTCCGACTCCACATCATCCACGGACGGCCTCTCAGAAATGTCCGAGCGGGTTGTCTCATCAGCTTCCTGGACACTTGTGGGACTGGAGAGGGCATCGAGGGGTCCTGGGGACATGGCTGGTGGGTCGGAGGGGGGCGAGGAGGGGCCGCCACTGGTCCCTGCATCATCCTGCACGGAGGCTTCCAGGGATGCCGCATAGCCCAGGGAGAGTGCCAACTCGTCCTGAGCAATGGGCACCTGGCAGGAGGGACAAGCGTTAATGGGCAGGAGTGACCCATTAGGCCTTCCTCCCTATCCCAACTCCTCTCCCCAGAGCCCTGTTACCTTGGAAACACCAGAGATGATGAGAGTGCTGCGCTTGGTGGGTGTCTTCTTGGCTGCCCGCCCACTGGGCTCAGTCAGCTGACGAATCGCTGTCTCTGCTACCGGGTCCAAGCCATTGGAAAGGTGGCTCTCCCCTGCTGGGGGTTCAGAGGATGGAGAACCCCATTTCTCCCCAGCTCCTTCTGGGACTCCAACGCCTGCCCTACCCAAAGAGGTTTTTGACCCAGGGGCCCCAGCACCAACCACGTCCACACATCCAGCCCCCACTCACGGCTGCTGCTGTGAGACGTATTGCTGGGGCCGCTGGTCTCACTCAGCACGGTCGTCGTCTTCTCGGTCACCTCCACCTTGGACGGGGAGCGGGAGGGGGAGTCTGGTGGGTGGGGGAGGGTCAGTGAGCTGGGCGGTGCTTTCCAGTGGCTCCCACCCCCTACTACCTTTGTTGAGATGCAGGCTGTGGTTGACTCAGAGGGCAAGGGTGATTAAGGAATGATTAATCACAAGATTAATCATGGGGACCAAAAGACACCATAGGAGCTAATGGGAATGTGGGGCCCACTTGCAGCTATGGGGAGATGCCATGGGAGTATGGAGTATACAGGGGTGATAGAGGGGGAGTGCCAGAGTCCTGTAGGAGGAGCTGGGAGACCCCAGAAGCACTGAAGGGTCAGAGGAGTTTTGGGGAGGTGGAGGGATAGAAGGGAAAGTTTAAGAGAGACAGATCCCAAAGCAGGTATGGCAGGGGCAGAGCGCAAAGTCAGGAACTGGGCACGCTGGCGTGGGGGCTGGCCTTCCCCTTTCCCCGTCCCGCCGCGGTCTGCAGCCCGGGGCCACCACTGGCTAGAGCCGAGCTCCCGGGCTCCTCCTCTGTACCTAATTTGCCATCGCCGCGGGGCCGCGACTGGACGGTGGTGACTGTGGTAACGATGGTGCCGTCAGGCATGATGGTGCGGTCCAGCTCTATCTTCTTGGTGGGTGTGATGCTGGGACGGGGAGTGGAGGGGGTGGGCGTGCCCAGGTTCCGGGGGGAGCCCTCCTCATACTGAAGCTGCGGACGGGTGCGAATGCAAAGAGGCAGGGCCTCAGAGACTGCCTGTCCCCTGCGTCCTCCCGCCTGCCCCTGGCTCCGCATCTCACCTCTGCTGCTATGGTGGCTGCTGGGCCCAGGGCTTTCCCTGGCCCTGGCATGAGTGGGCACACCTGTCTCCGAGACAGTGGTCTGGACGGGGAGCCCACAGGCAGTGTGGCCTGGCCCAGGAGCTCAGCTGGAGCAAAGAGAGGCACTGTGAGCTGTGGCCCTGCTCAGCACCCACCCAGGGTAGCCCTTCCTGCCCCACACTCACTGTCTCCATGGCTGCCGCTCCTCAGCACTCGGAGGGTCAGCTCCCGGCTCTGTGGTCCCAGGTCCCTGGGGGCAGAAGCAGAAGGGGAGGATGAACAACCGGAGTGGACCCCAGGCCAGAGGCAGAGAGAGATGATAGCACAAGGCTCCAGTCCAGTGCTTCTGCCCTCCCAGTCCTGCCTCCTTGGGATAGCAGGGCTAGGCCAGGTGGAGACTCTTTAGCTGGGCTTTCAGACCCTTCCAGGCCCTGCTCCGCCCTGTCTGGTTAGTCTCAAATCATGCTCTTTCATTTGTCCAAGTATCCTGGAACCAGGAGTAGTGTCACACTCCGGTGAAACCCTACTCCTGATCTAAGGTGCAGTTTAATTGCCACCTCCTCCTTGTAGCCTGCTGGGATCCTTGTTCCCCTAAGGGAATTGGTCTCTCCCACCTAAGTGCTCCCTCAGCATATTGTGGTAAGCCTCTATGGGAACACTTACAACACCTTCTTTTTGTACCTCTGTTCTGCCTCAAGCCTGCAATCAATGCAGGGGGTGGGGGCTGTATCGTGGCCACGTCTGGATCCCTGGGATCCAGGCCAAGGCCTGGCCACGCACAAGGAGCTCACATCAAGGGCTACTGCGAACAGAGCTGATTCATGCCAGGGCTGTGCTGGAAGAACTTGACCCTCAGTCGCCCACGGAAGCAGGGGGTTGGGGGGGAGGTCACTGCTTACAGTGCCAGGTCCTCTGTCCACTCCACCTCCGGACCAGCCCTCACAGGCTTGGTCCACTTCTGTTGCATGGGAGTGTCGAGCTCAGCCACACAGCACAGTTCCTCGGTGCCTGTTGGAACCAGCAGTTAGAAGATGCTCAGGTCAGAGATGAGAAGCTACTGAGGAGCAGAGAGGCAGTACCCCTGCTAGAGGGGCAGGGAGTGCTTGCAACCATAGGCCCTGGCCGGTGTGCTCTCACCTCCCAGCTCACTTCCCAGGTGGGAAGCTCGAAGCTGCCGTAGGAATAACCGCGTAGGTCTGGGAATGACTGGCTGGGTCTGGGGCATCGTAGGTGGCTTCTCACTGGGTACCTAAGAGCAGGACGAGGTACCTTAACATGGTACCTTGCGGGCAGGCTGCATGCAATCCTTTGACTTTGGGTGCCTACTCACCAGGCCTCCTGGGGCAGAGCAAGCCCTGAGGTTGACCATCATGGCTGGCTGGGTGCTGACTATGGCGTCCTTGATCAGCTCCTCGATTGTGGAGAGCTCAACTTCCTCCTCACCTCTCTACATGGAGCAGGAAAACAAACAGGTGGAGCCCGCAGCTCTGCCTGCCCTCCCTGCCTCTGGCCTTGTCTTTACCAGTCCGCGCTCCTCACCTCTCTGGCCTGCAGCTTAGGAAGCACCGTGAGGCTGAGATCTGGGCGGTCAGTGAAGGCCCAGGACACCAGCAGCCCTTCCCCAGGGATCTCCTCCAGGTTGACTTCCAACTGGGGAGAGGGACAAAGGGACTGGGCTTGACTTGGCCCGCTCCCCCAAAGACTCCGACTCCCCAGGACCACCCCTTCCCAAATTCCATCCTGGAGAGGAGCCAAACAGAAAATGCTGGGCCACCTGAACCGCCCCCTGTCCAACTCAGTTTCCCACATCCCTCCACCTGTGTTGGTGGCAGTGTCAGAGTGACGTGGTAGGTCTCCATGGAGACGGCAGCGGGGGACTGCTGGGTCACAGAGACTGGGAACCGCATCTCCTCGGCAGAGAGCTGGCAATGCAGCACCTAAGAGAGGAGGGAGGGAGGGTGGCCACCTGCTTCACCTCGCCCTATGATTCAGCAGACTCCTACCCACTTCTGCCTTCCTTGGGACTTCATCTTTTGGAGGTCATGAACCCCTCAACGAATCAGATAAGAGCCAAAGACTCCTTTCCCCAGAGAAATGCACACACACACATGCACACACATTTTGCACCCAACTTCAGGGAGCTCCTCAGACCTCCTAAAGTCAGGAACCCCTGACTAAAAGGAACCCTGGGGTCAGCCTCCCTAAAGTCCCAAGCAGGCAGTGCCCATCCGTCCCTTACCATGGTGTGCTCTGATTGGTCTATGCAGGTCACATGACTGATGCTGGCTCTGGGTGGGAGTTGGGGTACTTCCTCAAAGGCAATTTGGATGGAGCTCTAAGGAAGTAACATGGGCACAAGATCACGTCTCTGGAGCTTCCTCCCACAGAGCTGGCCAGCTCGGTGGCTGGCTGGGCCCGAGCACTGCAGATGCCTCAGCTGCAGGCTGGCTTCTGGCCCCTGTTTGGCTCAGGGCTTTAGGTTCCCATCAGACCCCACCTCTCCAGGGACCTGCAGCTGCTAGGGCTCCCAGGGAGCCAGACCACCTCAGAGACCAGATCACCTTGAGCTGAGGACCCTGGGTTCCTCCAGGAGGAATACCAGAGGTCTCACTCTTCTCCTCACCTTCCTCTTCAACCCCTACTAGTCCCAAAGAACAGTGTGCACAGAAAAGTAATCAAGCCACGTGTGTGTGTGTGTGTGTGTGTGTGTGTAAACAGCTTGACAGAGAGGGCTCGGGCTGAGCTAAGGATCAAGGGCATTTACTGTGAGATAAAAGCGAGAGAAATGAAGCTAAGACTTCTTCCAGATCAACAGGATGTGGAGACTCAAGAAGAGGATGCTACTTGAGGATACTCTTGGAGATGGGGTCCGGCTGAGCATGGCCTGGGGGACCTTGAGAAGCAAAGCAAGCTCAGAGGGCTGAAGGGCCCGGGGGCCTAGCTAATGCTGCACGGCAGACAGCAGGACGGTATTAGGAGGCAGAAAGCTGCTTAGCTCAGGTCTCCAAAGAGCTACTCCCTAATTCTTCCACGGCAGTAGAATGAACCTACTGCAGGCCCCTCTGGAGAGCAGGATGGCAGGAACAGTTGAGAAGGGGCACAGATGAGGCTGGCAACTCCTCCCTGGGTCTCGAGATGGAGGAAACAGATCAGTGGGGTTCATGTGCCTCACAAACCAGAGGAAGCCAACTTCTCCGCTCTGGTAACTGGATCAAGGAGCAGGCCAAGGGAGATGGGAGACGGATGCTGGGAACCTTCATCTCCCCGCCAACGTCTGGCTGAGTCAGCTGTCCTGGAGAGTTGCTTGTGACCCAGGGACAAGGTGCAGGGAGAGCTGGCTGGAGGCATGGGTTCAAGGTATAAACTCGCTTTTGGCTGGTCAGCTGGGCAAAGCAACTTCTTGTGGCCACTTCTGTTTCCAGGGATTTGGGGAGCTAGCAGGGTAAAGTCTCCAAACTTGTCATGGCTGAAAACAGAACCCTCTGAACAAGGCGTGGGTGGACTGTGAGGGTCAGAAGAGATGGCTGGGTCCGGATAGGAGGGGACCAGGGCAAGTGGGGACCTCCCATCCCTCCTGGGTCTCATGATCACACTTCCTGCCCCACTTCCTGGGAGGCGATGCCTGCTGCCATGGGAGGAAGTGGGCAGGGCTGGTATGTGACTGACCCTCAAGGGGCAACTGCAGCTCCTTTGGGAAGGGCATGAGCACAGACAGACTGTCAGGCCCTTCTCCACCGGAACATTTTTCCTCCAACAAATACACTGCGGGCCCAGCGAGCAGAGAAATTACTGATGGGCAGGGGGTAGCTCAGGCTCCTTGAAAAACCGCCTGGCCACGGCAGGGATTCAGGGCAGGAGATGTTAACTGGGTGTGGTGGCATGAGGACCAGGCAAATTCCTTCTGCAGGTGCACCTGTCTCCCCTCCGACAGGATCAGCAGGCTTGGCGGAAGTGCCCTCAGGCACAGGGATTAGCGTTGCTATGAGAACAGTAACTTGTACTAGGGTCTGGAGCCAGAGTACCTTGCCCACAGAAACAGATCTGGGACAGCACTGGGTTTCTACAACCCGCAGCCGCAGCCGCACCTGCTTCTCCGATCTGGAGGGGAAGAGAGAGCGTGGGCTTCCCCAGTTGATCTCCACCCCCGTCTGGCCCCTTCCTTCCCTCCCCCGAAAGGAATGGCTGCAGGACCACCTAGGGTCTCGTCCGACTCACCCCGTCCCTGCAGGCCTGCTGGTTCAGCGCTCGCACCCACGCCCGCTGCCAGTTCTCCCGGAAAGACTTGAAGGCGAAGAGCGACGCCAGGAGGCCCCGAACGCCTGGCTCCTCGGCGGCGCCGGTCCGAGTCGCCCGCAGCCGCAGCAGCGAGCGCCACACGCCCAGCTCCCGCAGGGGGCCCGCTGGCTCCGCAGCTGAGGCGGGGCCCGCGCCCCGGCCCCCGCGGGCCCGCGCCAGCCACAAGCCGCGAGCGTACTGCAGCAGCCAGCCGAACACGGTGAGCAGCGAGGCGGCGAAGAGGACCAGCAGGGCCGCCCAGCCCACGTCCCCCTGCCCCCAGCTGCGATCCATGCTCGGCACGGGCTCGGTCCGGCTCCCGGCTCAGGCTCGGCCGCTGCCCCGGGGGAGCATGGCCCAGCAGGGCCGCGGGGCGGGGGCGGGCTCCCCCGGGGCTCTCGCGAGCCGAGTGCCCGGGACCGGCGGGTGCCACAGATCGAGGAGGGGGTGTCCTCGGGGCTCGCGACGCCGGGTCTCTGCCTCCGTGGCCGGGGTCCCTCCCTGCTCCGTCCAGCAGTCGCAGCCCGGCGAGCCTCCGGCCGGCTCCCGGCTCCTCCCACGGCGCGGGCCCGCCGGAGCCGGGCGGGGACTGGGCTGCAGAGACGCTGGGGCGCGCGGGCCGGCACCGGCTCCGGGAGGGCTGCGTGCGCAGAGCTGACACTGACAACACCGCCGGCGCCCCGCCCCCACCCGCCCTTAAAGGGGCCGCGCCCGCACCGGGCGGGGCGGGAGGCGCCGCGCGAGCGGGCGACGTTCCGGGGTTGAAACCGGGCGGGGTCTTTGACCGTTCCGCCCCATCCCGGGACTGGGGGGATGCGCCCCCTCGCCCGAGTTCACGGCGGCGGGAATGACCTCACTCACCCGACGCCCCCTTAGGTCTCTAAGTGAAACGCCTGTGAGGTTGACAAGGAGGTGACCCCCGTGGAAATCGACGCCTCTTCTAACACCTCCAGGCTCGGTCCCTTTTAAGTCCCCCAGTCCTGGGGCGGGGCGGGGCGGCACAGGGCATCCCTCCGGAACGGAAGTGTCTGGTAGAGGTGCACAGAGAGAGAGCAGAACCCGAACCTGGCAGAGAACCGAGCGTAGAATACTGAATTCCCTCCAGCACCCTCGCCGCCCCCACTCCCCTTCGTCTTGGAGCTGGGACCCAGGGACGTCCCCCTTAACTTCTTTGCTCGGATGCGGTTGTTCCGGAGACGTTTCCCAAGCCCAGAGCTGTGTCTGTTTTTAGAAGTGCTATATTTCCATAGTAACAGCTCCTGCCTATGGAGCACGTGTAGAGAGGGTGGGGAAGAGAAGAGAGCAGAGCTGGCGGTGCCGCACTGAACTGCCAATAGATTTGGCCAGAAGACCCTGCCATCCAGATGTGAGACCCCAACAAGCGCCCCAGAAATCGCATTGTGGGTTACCACCCGACTCCCGGCCTCGGGATCAGGGAGGAAATTCAATCCCTGTAGGCCTGGGACCGGAAAGCAGGATCCAGAGGAATCCTGGTTCCCTGAGAGCCTACAAGGGAGGTCTTTGCCCCACAGCCCCTCAGAGAGGTAGGTCAGAAGGTGTTGAATAGCCTTTTCCCAAGTCAGTTAGTTGCCTGAGGGATCAGCACGTGAGAGCAAGGAATGCCTTCTAAAGTGGAGTTGGAGCTGGTGCCGTGGCACAGAGGGTCAGGTCGCCAGCTGCAGAGCCTGCATCCTGTAGGGGCACCAGTTCGCGTCCCAGCTGCTCCACTTCTGATCCAGCTCCCTGCTAATGTGCCTGGGAAAGCAGCAGAGGATGGCCCAAGTGCTTGGGCCTCTGCACCTATATGGGAGACCCAGAGGAAGTTCCTGGCTCCTGGCTCTGGCCTGGCCCAGCCCTGGGCATTGCAGCCATTTGTTGAGTGAACCAGTGTTGGAAGATGGATCTCTTTCTCTCTGTCTCTCTCTCTCTCCCACTCTGTGACTCTGTCTTTCAAATAAATAAAAATAAATCCTTAAAAAAAATAAAGAGTGGAGTTGCAGGCCTAGCAGAACCAGCAGGGTTTTGAGGCAGAGGAGGTGTTGGGGTAGCCCGGGGCAGCCCTGGATTTCACTGTAAGGATTGGTGGGGGAGAGGTGGCTGAGATGGGGTAACCCTGCTGTGGCCCTGCGCAGGCATGGTCAACAGCCTGCAAAACAAGAGAGACTCCTAGAGCTGGGCCTCTGGTCTCAAGGGGGAGGAGAAGACATGGAACAAGGAAGGAGAGCAGGCAGGGACAGAATCCAGAGATGCCGGCGGAACAGTACACAGGCAGTGCAGCTGGGGCTGGGGGAGCAGGTCACGCAGGACGTTGTCCAGGTGCAAGTTTCCTCTGTGAAGACCCTCTGCCCCCAATATCCTTCTTTCTTTCGGTTCTCAGTTCTTAGGTTTATTCCATCAGCCCCTGCACTGGGCCTTATGCTGCTTGACAATGAAGACTTAGCACTCCCAGTCTCTCCTCCACCGCTTAGCCCTCGTGCTCTTATTTCTTCAGGGGAGAGGTGGGAAGAGAAGGAAGGAGAGCCATTGGGCTGTGTGGACCGAGTCACAGACAGCGTCCAGCCCCCCCTCTGGAGCTGCAGGGAAGCACCTTTGGGAGGCTTTGTCGTGGTCAGCTCCACAGTGGACTGGCCTTGCTTACCGGGAGGTGCTCAGGACAGTTAGCAGATGTGAGCTCAGGCCTGGTCGGCTCAGCTAACCTGTGAATCCCAGGTGTTAGCCTTCTTATTCATTTGCTAATCACCTTGCTGGCGGTTACCATCAAGGGAGCAAAATCATTCAGCATGAGTGACACGCGTCCAAGGAACCGCTTTCTGATGGTAACATGTATACCTGAATGAAGAATGCCTACTGCTCCGACTTTGAACAAATCCTCCCACCCTCTTAGGTGAGGGAGGGCTGATGATCTCAGAGAAGAAAGAGCCAGTGCCTGGCTGGATAGGCAGATCCATGAGGCTTGGCCTCCCTAATAAAGCAGGAACAGAGACAGACTGTCCCTCCGACCTCCGACCTCCAGGGAGTCTCAGCCAGCCTCTGAGCTATAAGATACCCGGGCGCTGCCTCCTCCGGGGACCCACAGACTCCTCCTTCACACCTGCTCCCGGTCTCACCCCTCCCTCTGGAAGGCCCTTCCATTCTGCCACCTGCTCACATCCTTTGAGATACCACTCCTCCTCCAGGCCCTGTCCTGCCCCTGGTCACCACCCCGTGCTCCCTGCTCTGTGCACCTGTTGCCCTCTGCACTTCTTTCACACTCAGACTCATTAATGTGTGTGATGCCTTCTAAACAGATACCGGTGTCCTTAGCCTCGGGGGGACAGCCTGTGGAAAGAAAAACAGTGGCCTCCAGGGAGTTTCCAGTTTAAGAGGCACCAGTGACACAGACACAGATGGGTACATATGCTCACACACACACACATGGAGGAAACAAACTGGCAGAACACTGTGGTGTAAATCACTGGGATTATGTTCACATGTGTCCTTGTCCCGCTAGAGCTGCTCCGCATCTGTAGATTCAACCACGCAAAAAACATCGTTGTACTTGTATGTACATACATATTTTTTCTTGCTATTCTTCCCTAAACAGTGCAGTACAGCAACTGTTTACCTAGCATTGACATTTAATTCAATATTATAAGTAATCCAGAGATGTAAACTATACAGGAGGAAATGGGTTGGGTTACATGCAAATACTTCACCGTGTTATATAAGGAGGCTCAGCATCCACGGATTTGGGCACCCTAAGGGGTCATGGAACCAAGTCTTGAGGATACTGAGGGACAACTCTATGTACAAATGAGGACACTTCAGAAGGGTCATGGAAAATGTGTATTATGAAAAGACTATGCATGGACTTTCACTTTTTTGCATGTGAACTTTTAAAGACATTTTTCATTACTTTTACAGATTTTTTTATTTGAGAGGCACAGTGACCAAGAGGGTGAGACAGAGACAAAGATCTTCTGTCTGCTGGTTCACTTGTCATTTGCAACAACAGCCAGGTCTGGGCCAAGCCGATGTCAGGCGACAGAAACTTCATCCTGGTTTCCCACATGGATGGTACTGGCCCAAGTACTTGAGCCATCCTCTGCTGCCTTCCCAGGTGCGTTAGCAGGAAACTAGACCTGAAGCAGCTAGGATTTCCTATGGGATGCTGGCATCACAATGCTGGCCCTTCCATGAATTCTTTGAAGGACCTTGGTGTTTATGCCTTTTATACATATATTTTGCCTGTTACTGTTAATTAGACCCAAGGGTCATTTCATACTTTGATTCGAGGTAAAAGACAGACTATCTTGGCCCAAAAAGAATCACCCTGACCTTGACTCCTGAAATTCCGGAATTCCTAATGGCAGAAGTGCTAGGCTATTTGAGGCATATCTCTAACTCCCTCCCGGTTATTTCGTCTTGGAGAAATGAGAACACGTGGGGGAATGAAAGGGAATTTAGATGCCAGTGACCGTTACTTGCAGGGGAGCGGGTACCCAGCAAAAGGCACAGTGAACTGGAGGAAGAAACCTGACTGGGAGCCCTACAGCTCATAAGGAGACAGGTGTGGGCCTGCTGCTCCTATCTCCTAAGCTCATTGCAAAGCCTCAGCCTCCATCTCCTCATTTCGGGAGCTTGGTACAAAGCAGTGATCCAGGACCAAGTGAAAGCCCCGGGTTAGATCCGAGACTCGGTGTGCCGAGCCCTCGGCAGTGGGAAGCGCCGGGCTGGTTGCCTGGCAACTAACTGCTACAGTGGGAGCAGAAGGTGGGTGGGATGCGGGGCGAACAAAAGTACCTGATCCAGGACAAGAGAAACAGGATGGGAGGGGCTCTGTGGTACAGGACAGCGTCCTTCCAAGTAGCGGCAGCGTTTCCGGGAACTGACTTGTTTACCTTGGTTTCCGACTTACGTGGGCAACAGGTTTCCTACAAGAAGCAGGCGCGGCCCCACACCCTCGTCCCTCCCGTCCAACCCCTAGCTGCCAGCAGCCATCATCTTCCCCGCTCCGGAGGCATCCCAGCTTAAGCGCGCGGGGGGGGGGGGGGGGGGCAGTGGCCCTTTAAACGTGACCTGTGGCGGCCGAAGGAGCTAAAACTGACGTGGAACCCGAGAGTAGACGGTGTCCGGCACGTGGTGCGAGGAGGCGTTCATTTTGGAACTGGGCAAGGAGTCTGGGCTCTGCGTCGTTAATGTTAGAAAAGTGTCCGCGCTTGTTTGTGCTTCTTTTGTCGATATGCCAGTACTCGCGGGATGCCTTTATCCTCGGAAAAAATATGTTTTTTTTTAAAAAAACCACTTTTCTCCCCACCTAGTGCCCTTAATAAAAATGGCGGCCACGGCCTTCCGCAGCAAGTTGCTCTGCGAATGGGATCCGGGCGGAAACAGGATAGGCAGGTGTCGCAAGGCAGCGCTCAGGTTGCCGTAGAGGGGCTGTCGCTGCCGTCCCGGGGCTGCTCTAGTCAGAGTTGCGGGGTTTGCTCCGGCTGGCTGTGGGAACGCTCTGCCGCTTCTTGCTGCTGAGGCCTCTGGGCTGCCGCCCAGCCTGCTAGCTCGCTGAGGGGCCGGCGGAGCGGGGCTCCTGGCCGGTCACCATGTGGGCCTTCCCGGAGTTGCCGATGCCGCTGCTGGTGAATCTGATCGGCTCGCTGATGGGGTTTGTGGCCACGCTCACCCTCATCCCGGCCTTCCGTGAGCACTTCATCGCCGCGCGCCTCTGTGGCCAGGACCTCAACAAGTCCAGCCGGCAGCAGATGTGAGCCGCGGCGCGCGGGGTTCCGGGCAGGGGGCTAGGGCTGAGGAATGTCGGGTGGGCAGGGCAGGGGCGGGGACCGAGAGTTAACCCAAGCCGCCCAGGGCTCGGGGAGGTAATGGGCAGAACTGGCTAGCATAGGGGAAGGTGGGTGGGGGACCCTTGGGTGTATCAGGGACTCGAGCAGTGGTGTTCTCCGTCCGCCCCCCTCACAAGTAAAAAAAAAAACTGGGAAGGGTAAGACTATTTGGAGTCACTGTAACCCCACCCCCGCACTGGTGAGTGACCACGCCCCTTCTCTTGTTTCTCTTCCACTGTTGCTTTTGGGCTGCAGCCCGGAGTCCCAGGGAGTGATCAGCGGTGCTGTCTTCCTTATCATTCTCTTCTGCTTCATCCCTTTCCCCTTCCTGAACTGCTTCGTGGAGGGGCAGTGTAAGGCATTTCCTCACCACGAAGTAAGTGGCTCAGTGGAGGTCCTTGCCTGGTGGCTGGCACCTGGGAACCCGAGAGAGCTGAGGGTGTGGGCGGCGGCCGGGGTTCTCGGAGGTGGAGTGGGAGAAGGCTGGAGCCGTGACCTGCCCGAGCCTCCCCCAGTTTGTGGCCCTGATAGGTGCCCTCCTTGCCATCTGCTGCATGATCTTCCTGGGCTTCGCGGATGACGTGCTGAACCTGCGCTGGCGCCACAAGTTGCTGCTGCCCACAGCCGCCTCGCTGCCTCTCCTCATGGTCTATTTCACCAACTTCGGCAACACCACCATTGTGGTGCCCAAGCCCTTCCGTCCGCTTCTTGGCCTGCATCTGGACTTGGGTGAGTGGCGCTGCCAACTGTGACACCTGTGTCAGGGCCCCCTTCACCCTCGACATATCCACCGGAGCATCCTTTGGTGCTCTGCATTCTCCACCAGGTTATCTCCGCTCTGTGCTTTTATCTTCTCGCTTTCCGGTGGCCCTTCGTCCTGTTCTCTGTCCTCACCGCTTTTCTCAGAAGAACATTCTTGAATGCCCCTTCCCTGGCAGCACTAGGACTTCTCATGCTGTGTCTCCCGCAGGCATCCTGTACTATGTCTACATGGGGCTGCTGGCAGTGTTCTGCACCAATGCCATCAACATCCTAGCAGGAATCAATGGCCTAGAGGCTGGCCAGTCACTAGTCATCTCTGCCTCCATCATTGTCTTCAACCTGGTGGAGCTGGGAGGTAGGTGGGGATAGGGACAAGGAGAGAGAGCAGTCTGAGTGTTGAGGGAGTTGCCTGGTATATGGCTTTGAGGAGTTCTGAAAGAAGCAGTGTGTGCATAATTACAGAAGATAAAAGAAGCTATTTACATCACAAATAACAACAGTTATTAATTGTGGAACAAAGAAACAGCAGCCCTGTCATTTGTAGCTGGTTTGGCCACTGCTAGGACGCAAACAATGTCACAGAACCCTATCATCAGCATCAGACAGGTCACTCTGTGACTACGGTAGAGCAACACAAAAACCAGACCCCTCCGTGTGTTGTCATGGCTGAGCAAGGGAAAACCACAAGAACACCGGGCAGTCCACAGCAACGATCAAGATCCCTTCTCATGGGCTAACATGGGAGACTGCTGCTGCTTTCCAGTAACTCAGCCCTCCTAATTGTTTGATTAAAAATTAAGATGCTCAATTACAGAGCCGCTCTTGCTAGCTGACAGCAGTAGACCAGACCAAACTCTACTCCCCTGCACACTCTCCAGAATTATTCCAAACACACCCTGGAACAAACCCCTCCTAACGGCCCTTTCCTGAGGCATTCTGCAGTTTCCCATGACATGAGGTTTCCAAAGTCCCGCTCATTGCCAGTCAGTGAACCCAGTGGTGACTGTAAGCATGTTTCTGGTGGCCTTTGGTTAATGGGTACCAACAAATGCTTACTAAAGCGAAGCACTGTTGAAACATTATCTCACTGCAATCTTGTAATAGCTCTACATGGCAGTGTTATCATCAGCCCTATTTTACAGATGAGAAAATGGAGGCTTAGAGAAGTTAAGTGTGTCACGGTCAAGGTCACATGGCTAGGAAGTAAAGCTGGTACTCAAACCCGGGTCAGAATGGCCTAAGCTAAATTTACAGTAGTAACTAGGAAGCTGTCCTGAGAGAAGTAGAATAGTGGGAATTGCCCAGGTGACATTAAAGGGAAAGTGTGTTCTTGAAAGTATCTCGGGCAAGTGGATGCCACAGCAAAGGACAGAACTCAGGGACAGACACAGGTAGGACCGAGGTATTTGACTTCCCTTCTCCTCCTGCTCTCAAAGGTGATTACCGGGATGATCACGTGTTTTCCCTGTACTTCATGATACCCTTTTTCTTCACCACTTTGGGATTGCTCTACTATAACTGGTAAGTTGGCCCATGGATGAGGGTCTGAATACATGGCAAAGGTGGTCCTGCTGATAACCCACCCACCGGGGAAAAGGCAAACCCATGCATACCTGTGTTGAGTGTTCTCTGGGTCTTACAGTGATACTATTCCGGCATCCCTCCCTACCCAGCGGAAGTTGGGGATGTATACTCTGGAGTCCCTAAGGATAGAATTCAGGGCCTTGGGTCCTGCAGAATTGCTGGGATAGCTGGACTCTTCCAAGTCAGACTCAGCTTGGGGCTAGCCCGGTGCCCGTAGTGTGTGCTGTGAGAATAAGGATTGGCAATGCCTTTTGCTACTGGCTCAGATCCTCTCCCCCACACAGGTACCCCTCCCGGGTGTTTGTGGGAGATACCTTCTGTTACTTTGCTGGCATGACCTTTGCCGTGGTGGGCATCCTGGGACACTTCAGCAAGACCATGCTCCTCTTCTTCATGCCCCAGGTGTTCAACTTCCTCTACTCACTGCCTCAGCTCCTGCATATCATCCCCTGCCCTCGCCACCGAATTCCCAGGTAGCCGCTTTGGGGCTTCAGAGGCCGACATAGCCTTTCTCTCGGGATAGCCAAAGCCAGTCTATACGTTACTGTGCAAAGGGAGGGGGCCCAAGGAAGGGCTGACTTCCCATGCCGTGCACCTTCTGTAATCTGCGAAGCTATTACATAACCTCACGTAATGCTAAGAGCACTTCCGAGCACACACTAGTAAGCAGAGCCAGAAACAGGCATCTGGCCTTTTCCCTCCCCAGTCAGAGCTCTTCCTATTAATGAACACAGGGAAGAGCCTTCTCCGAGTAGTGGCCCAGTCACATGAAGCTGTCTTCCCCCTGCAGACTCAATACCAAGACAGGCAAACTGGAGATGAGCTATTCCAAGTTCAAGACCAAGAGCCTCTCTTTCTTGGGCACCTTTATTTTAAAGGTAACAAGGTAACAAGGAGGTAAGGCCCTAGGCCGCCATCCTGAACTTGGGGATCCGGGAGCCTAGACCTGCATCAGATCCCAGGGGAGCTCGGAGGCATTAAGCAGACTCCTGTCCCCGGACCACACATAGGAGCTGCGGTTCTCCCTCTGGTCCCCGCAGGTAGCAGAGAGGCTCCGGCTGGTGGCGGTGCGCCAGAGCGAGAGTGAGGACGGCCACTTCACTGAGTGTAACAACTTGACCCTCATCAACCTGCTGCTTAAGGTCTGCGGGCCCATCCATGAGCGGAACCTCACCTTGCTCCTGCTGCTGCTGCAGGTGAGGTCGGGCATGGGGATGGCGTTTGTACTTCCTTGTGGCTCTTTCTCGACGGACCTCACGCCAGTCCATTTCTCTTGCAGGTCGTGGGCAGCGCTCTCACCTTCTCCATCCGATACCAGCTTGTCCGGCTCTTCTATGATGTCTGAGTGCCCTGGGTGTTGGCCCTCACCTCAGAGTCTCCAGGGGTCCTGCCCTGACCCCTGTCTGGACCAAGGCTGCTTCCCCTTCCCCTGTGATCATGGACATCCGGGGCCTTTCTTGCCCTCTGGCGATGGCCACTGAGACTTAGCCTGTGGCTCCCCATCAGCTGGCCGCTCTCCCGCCCTCGCATCTCTGGGCTGCAGCAGATTTTGGACGGTTACCCACAACTCGACTCTCAGGGTCCTGCCGCTCAAGGGATGTGCTGGGCCTTGGGGCAGAACCTGGGCTAGAGAAGGGACACGGGCTGGAAGGGGGCTTGACTCTCGACTCTAAATGAAGTATTCTGATTAGTAAGGGCAGACGGGGCACCCGATGCTCCCGACAGTGACAATAAAGGGTCTTTTTTCTTGTTTCTGTACGTATATTTCCTATGGGGGCATTTTAGGAAAACAGGGAAGGGCGCGGGGAGAGGACCTCCAAGCGGAGGCCTGTGCCTGTGGCTGCTCTTTCAGACCCTTCCCAGAGAGAACACAACTGAGACCTGACAGGGAAGCTCCCGGCGGCACAGGGGGCCTTAAGGTGGGAGTGGCCTGTCTTCCGACGTGGGATCGTCCCTTTTCGCACTCTCCTTCGGCCTATTCGGAGGGGGCGGGGGTAGGGCGCCCCCAGACTTAGATGGGAAAGCTGAGGTAGCAGAATCGAGTCCTTTCCTTTAAAAACCCCAGGCCAGCACGGGGTCTGGCTCCACCCCTTTCGTCTTCCGGTTCTAGTCTCCGCCTGCCACGTTTAAATCTCGCGCGCTTTGCGCGGATTGGCCGCGTCCGGAGTGGCTGCCTGTCAGCCGGCCCGCACGCTTCCTCACCTTCTTACCCGGGCAAAAGGTTTTCAAATTCGACCAATCGGCGGGCGCGCTCCCTCAGCCGAGGCGCGTCCCCGAAGGGTTAACCTCAGCCAACCGGAGGCGGGTACTAGAAAAAAGAGCCAATCAGGAGAGCGCAGGGGGTGTGCCCTAGGGGCATATAAGGGCGGCCCCGCCGCGCGCGCGCCGGCAGTTGGACTGCGGCGGTTGGCTGTTGGGGGCTTCCGTCCGGGCGTCGCTTCGTGCCGTTCTACCTCGCGCACCATGTCCGGCCGCGGCAAGACCGGCGGCAAGGCCCGCGCCAAGGCCAAGTCGCGCTCTTCGCGCGCCGGCCTGCAGTTCCCGGTGGGCCGCGTGCACAGGCTGCTGCGGAAGGGCCACTACGCCGAGCGCGTGGGCGCCGGCGCCCCGGTGTACCTGGCGGCCGTGCTCGAGTACCTGACGGCCGAGATCCTGGAGCTGGCGGGCAACGCGGCGCGCGACAACAAGAAGACGCGCATCATCCCCCGCCACCTGCAGCTGGCCATCCGCAACGACGAGGAGCTCAACAAGCTGCTGGGCGGCGTGACGATCGCCCAGGGAGGCGTCCTGCCCAACATCCAGGCCGTGCTGCTGCCCAAGAAGACCAGCGCCACCGTGGGGCCGAAGGCGCCTTCGGGCGGCAAGAAGGCCACGCAGGCCTCGCAGGAGTACTGAGGGGCCCGCGCCGCGGCCGCCCGCCCCGCGCCACCACAAAGGCCCTTTTAAGGGCCACCACCGCTCTCACGGAAAGAGCTGAGCCACGGCCGCTGCCCCTCCCCCGCGCCGCGCACCTGCACGCGCCTCGGGCCGGGCTCGTGACTCAGCCGCCCCACGCTGCGGGGCTGCGGGGCGGCCGCGGCGCCCGCCGGAAGACGGCCTGCGGGGCCGAGCGGGCAGCCCTGAAGGTGAGGCCCTCGGCGGCCGCAGCCCAGGACTGGGACACCCGTCTGCGGCTTCCAGGCCTCGGCGGGAGACGCGCTGCCCCTCTCGTCGTTGGCGGCCGCACAGCCCAGCTCCGTTCGCCCCGGCGGGGCGGGGGACTGCCCGGAGGACTGCCGGGCGGCGGCGGCGCGGCCCGCGCGCTCAGACCAGCCCCGTCCGGACGGCCTCCGGTGGCTTGACTGGGACTTTGCAGCTAACTCGTCGGAGAACCAGGGACTGGGAGTTTCGGATGGACTCATTTTGTTTATTAAAGGATTTGGTTTTTTAAATGAAGCGCTTCCGTGTACTTGCCTGAGGGGGCGGGGCGGGGGTTCAGCTAACGGGAAAGGCTGTACCGGGACCGGGTGAGGCAGGAGCCGGGGGGCTCTTAAGGTGCGTGGGGGGCTCTCCGCGGTATCCGGGGACCGTGTCGGGCAGAACTACTGCGGCAGGAACGCGGTGTTCCAGAATTCGGGGGGAAGGGTCAAAGGGGTTTGTCCCTGTTTGCGTCTCCACCGACCGCACCACGAGACAACCGGAGAGCCGCCCTCAGCTGGTTTATTCCCGGGGCTGGTTACATTCAAAGGCTGTGGCTTGCATTGTGTTCTCTAGAGATGAGGCCCCCACGCAGCAGGAGGCAAGGCCCCGAGGTGAGGCGAGTCCCCGGCGGTCAGGGACCCCGCAGTTCCTCCTGGAGTGACCACTTCCCAGTGAGAACAGGGCACTCGGCCGACGTCCTCCCCGGGGAGCGGCAGCCCAGGCAGGCACCTGTGCCCACGGCCGCTTAGTGGGCGTCATTCAGCTGGCGTGCAACGTCCAAAATGTTCTTGGCTCCTTTGTTCAGTAACAGATTGGCCAGGCTGATGCCCAGGTTCTCAGCGGCCAACTGGGGTCCTCGTGGAATGTTCCGGGCAGTAATGCCTACCAGCTGGGGGTCATCCTCCGGGCCATCTTCATGCTGGACAGAAGGGAGTGGGACTTAGTGGGGACAGGGAAGTCGCACTGCTCACTCCTCCCTCTCACCCTCTGGCTTTGTACCTGGGCAGGGACCTGGATGCTGGCCTGCATGGTCTCTTGCATTGTGTCGGAGCCATCCAGACTCCAGACTCCTCCAGTCATGTACAGCTGGTTAAGAAAACGGTTGTCTCAGCCTCGTCGGAGGGACTCCTTAGAGACGGGTGCACGGGGATGCCACTATGCTACCTCCCCGTCCTCAGGGTCCCTGCTTACCTGCCCATCCTTCATGGCTGTGTGTACTGCCACTGGCACACTGCAGCCGCCTTCCTGCAACCAGAGGTTCTGTGAGCTCCAGGGCCCCTAACACCCTGGGACCACACTTCTCAGATGCACAGACCCGAAGACGAAAGGCAGCTGAGGGAGGGCCCAGACCTGGCTCCTCCATACGCAGCAGCCACCAACAGGGAGTGACCCCTACCCACAACACGCACTTAAGGAACCTCCGCCCTCCACGGGGGAGCCTCGGGCCCTACCAGGTGCTTCAGGAAGGCCCTTTCAGCAATGCAGCGAAGCAGGGTCTCGGGATCGTGCAGCACACCCACCAGATCCAAGATGTCCTGGTCCTTAGCTCGAACTTCCACTCCCAGGGCCCCCTGATGGGAAAAACAGCTTAAGACCTCAGGCTGACCTCTCTCCAACCGAGCTAAGGATGGAACCCACCCCCCCTCCCCAGCTGCTCCCAGGCCTGTGGACCATCAGCATCCCAAAGCCCTCCCTGAGTATTTTATTTTGGGTGATGCAGACGTAGAAGGTGTGAGCCCAGCCTCTTAGCTGAAAATAACGGAAGAAGTTCATCAACACGCAGCTTCCCCAGTCAAGCGTACCTGGCCCACAGCGTACATGCATTCCTCAGGGTGCAAGATCTGTGAAGAGCAAGTGGGTCACAGACTTGAGATGAGGGCGCCCAAAAGCGCTCAGCGGGGAGGAGGAGCTTCCCTACCACTTTGAAAGCCTGGGTCGGCACATTTGAGAGTCTGGTGCCATCCTGGGACCTGTTTCCAGCTTATAGTGCCAAATGTAGGGTGGTCAGAAAGAGGATTCAGGCAGGAAAAGGAGTCCAGTTGAACTGGGGAGGGGAAGGCACAGGCCATACCTGCCCTACTCGGTTGTGCCAGCCCATGCGCTGTAGGCCAGCCACAGCCAGGATGATAGCACTGAACTCCTGCTGCTCATCCAGCTTCCGGAGCCGGGTGTTGAGGTTTCCCCTCTGCGGAGAGGTGCTAAGGACAATGAGAAGCCTCGTGCTGCCCTCTCTGGCTGACTTCTACGCACGGCCCAGTCCCTCACTTAGTGACGGCAGCTAACACGTGGTGGTGGTCCAAAGTGCTCCCAGGTGCCAGCTATTTGCCCTCACAAGCCTGCGAGGCAGCTGGTGTGATTATCCCCATTTTACAGATGAGGACAATGGGCGTTTAAAGTAACTTGCCCAAGGTTGCAAGACATCTGAGAGCCTCCCCTAGCACCCAAGACTGTGATTATACTCCAGCCAGAAGCTTCCAGAGAATTCCCTATTTTACCGAGTAGAGCATTTAGCATACACTCTTTTTAAAATTAGTCCTATGAAATGTACTGCGGAGCCACTGTCAAATCAAAACATGGTAGCATAAACAACAGTAATGGAAGCACCGTCTAAACGTCCCATACGTCATCACTGTTCAGTACTGCTCTGTGTTTGTATGATCACGCTGGTCTTGTCTCCTGAGCTAAAATGTACACTCCCTACAAGCAGGGACAGTGTTTCTCTCGCTCACTAGAATCCCCGGTGCCAGGCACCTGCCTGGGGCTGAAAAAAACAACAAAAGATGGCAGGGTGGGTGGACAGAAGGACAGAGCGGCCGCTGCCCCTGCACTGTGAGGACCCCCAGGGCCCTCTGGCCCACGTCTTCATTGGCTGCTGCCCCTCTTTCTTCAAAAAGGATACGATACTCTTGAACTCCAGGTGTGGAAACTTCCTCTGCAGCTGGGCTGCTCTCCGCAGGGAGCTGGTTCCCACTACACTGCTCGGAGAGGGGGTTTAAAATCAGATGTCACACCATGGGCCACCGATCCTTTCCTCTGCCCGCATTCCCTCCTTCTTAGATGTACATCCCACGAGATACCCATGCAGGCCTCACTCACCTCCTCTCTGGCAAGGTTGCTAGAGTCTTCCCAACAAATTTTGGGTGAAAGACAACAGCATCGCAGGGGTTCTCCCGCCTAGGCAAGGAGAGAAAGGCAGAGTAAGGGACAGACTTCAGTTCAGGCTACCTCTACTAATAGCCAACTAACGGGCATTTACTGTCTTCTGCCACACTCGACCCTCCTTAGGACAGCGGGAACAGCTCCTGAGGCAGAGGGCCACGTCCCAAAGGGAAAAGCAAAGCTCCCACTAGGCCCACGCCCTGCAGGACTTACTTGCAGATGGCTCCCACGGTGAAGCCAGGAGGAAGCACAGTGGGCAGGTCCTTCAGGGAGTGAACCACCAGGTCCACCCTGGAAAGGTGGGAGAAGGGGCAATGAGGAGGGGTCCAAGCAGCTGCCCCCACCTTTCCTCTGCCACCCCCACTTCTCCCTCAGCAGCGTGGCCTAGGGCCGTTCAGGCCTTTCCGGGACTCCAGGCTCTCTTCCCACCCTCCCTTCCATCCCAGCACCCTCAGTCAATCTCGCCTCCAAGGCAGCTGGATGACTCAGAACCAGGATGCTGTCCTTGACTGGAGCCTCAGGAAGCCACCGGGAGCCCCTCCAGCCCGCCTGAGCCTGGCTGACATGGGTTCGTAACACACAGTGGTGCCAGCAAGAGACAGGTGGGTGCCCCCCAGGCCCTCCTGTCCTCACTCACTCGTTCTTCTCCAGGGCATGTTCCAGTTCCTTGGTGAACAGGCTCTTCTCCCCAATCTGCCAAGCAAGAGCGAGCCAAGGAATGACTCTCTTGGGGGACAGACAGGCGAGACGGGGTCAAGGCCTGGGGGAAGGAGTCTCTCACCTTGGAAAGTGCAGTATCAAGAATCTTGTCCCCCGTGGTGGACATAGCGACTGTGGAGAGAGTCAATCAGGTGCTCATTGGCCTGCATTTATGGAGCCCTCCTGAGCCCAGCCCAGGGTGGGACAGAGGCACACAGGCCCCAGTCCCTGCCCCCTGGGAAGCGAGCCATCCAGCTTCCTCATCCAGCAGGAAGGCACAACCCAGCCACCAGGAAGGCCCAAAGCAGAAGATGAATGATGCCCAGACCAGCCCTGGGTGTCAGAGTTGGAGGCGCCAGGAGGAGGAGAGCAGCCAAGAACGATTCTTAGCGGCCACTGGGCCTCTAGGATGGGCCAAGTCAAAATCCCCGTGCGCTCTCCTCCGCAGGGACTCACTTCCCATCACCTCCCACGCTGCTTTTGGAAAACTCACTGATTTCAAACCGCAGGCCAGGGTATAAGGTTTTCAGCGTTGCCACCACACTGTCCGTCTGGATGCGAGCCAGCTGGGGGCAGAGATGCTGGTTAGTCCCGCCTTTCCCTGGCCACTGCCCCAAGCTCAGAGCTTCACAGGACCAGGAAGACCCTGAAGGATTGGAATTCTCACCTAGGAATGAGACGCGCCTGGCCTGGGCGTACTCTGCACCCCAACGACTTCCCAGCCCAGGGACTCTCTCCACAGAATGCACTCTGCCAGTCCCCACGGAATTTAATGCCCACCCAGAAATTCCTACACAGGGAACGAACCACCTGGCACCCACACCTTGCAATACTGCAAGCAGCAGCCATCCGTAGACTTCCACGGCAGCACAAGCACTCACCTGGCTCTTCCGGGTGCCCACTCGAATCACTCTCATCCTGGGGCTGCTCGCTTCCTGCGGAAAGAGTCCTCGTGTCACCGTCCCCACTGGGGCTTAGCAGCTCATCCAAGAACCAGAACCCCAGGCCTGGGCTCAGCCGGGCCTCAGGGTGGGGGCAATGCTGCAAGACGGCCCCCTTACCTTCCTCAGTACCTTCTGCCTCCTCAGGGAGCCAGAGAAGCAGTAGCAGGATCTGCTGTTACCGCCCTGCCGTAGCCAGGACACTGCGCCCCCAAGCCCACACCGGCTGAGGCAGTTCTCAGAGGGAGTGCTGCACACAGGCAGGTGCAGAGAGAGATAAGGACCATCAGCCTGGCTACAGGGAGGGTGCGCCCCGCAGCTGGCCAGGGCAGGGCGGCAGGGGCCACACAGCAGAACTGTGCTGAGTCACTGGAGAGAGGTTGACTGTCCAAAGCAGAGCAGCACTGGAGAAAGCTCCAGTGTCACCCAGATGCCAGGCGCTACCCCACAGCTGCCACACCAAGGGTCCCTTGATCTGGCAGAATGCACACACATGGGAGGGGGCTCGGCAGATGTGGTGTGCAGTCCTGGCCCGACCTTGTGGCTTGGGCACAGCATCCCACCAGGACCTGCTTGTTGATCTTAGGTCTGGACTCAAGTTTCTTCTGCCCCAGAGGTGCTCGAAGACGGCGAGGCTGAGCTGCCTGAAGTTCACACACACTGAGTGCTGCTCTGGTTTCACTGACGAGGAAATACCGCGATGTCAGGGACACACCTCTTCCTCATGCCACGGCAGCCTGGACAAAGGTGTTCAGTGCCAAGCAGGCAGAACTGGGTGCTTCAGTCTAAGGCAAGGGTCCTAATTCTTTCTACATCAGTAGACGACCTCTGTAAATAATGTCAACTTTCCCTGCTCTGGGTTCTTCTGATGGAGTGCTTCTGCAGTCAGACATCTGGGGCCTCTGTTGCTGGAGGAGGCGACTCCTGAACTCTACCCTATGTGATCACTCCTCCAATAAATCAACCCTGGGAGACCCTCTGCAAATTAGGCTAGGCCTGGGGCTGGTGCTGTGGCATAGTGGGTAAAGCCACTGCCTGCAGTGCCGGCATCCCATATGTACGCTGGTTCTAGTCCTGGCTGCTCCACTTCCAATCCAGCTCTCTGCTATGGCCTGGGAAAGCAGCAGAAGATGGCCCAAGTCCTGGGGCCCCTGCACCCACGTAGGAGACCCAGAAGAAGCTCCTGGCTCCTGGCTTCGGATCAGCACACCTCTGGCTGTTGCAGCCACTTGGGGAGTGAATCAGCGGATAGAAGACTTTCTCTCTCTCTCTCTCTCTCTCTCTCTCTCTCTGCCTCTGACTCTCTGTAAGTCTACCTTTCAAATAAACAAATAAATCTTAAAAAAAAAAAAAAAACTGGGCTAGGCTTGAAGTGCTAAACATGGCCACTGACTTCTGGGCAACAGAGAGTCCCTAGAAAAGAATCTTGGGTTCCAGAACTGCCAGGTTCAAGCAATCTTTTAAGTTCACAGAGTCTGTATAGCCTATGCAAATCAGACCGTTCCATCCAAAAGTATTTACTGAGCACTGGAGATGCTACAGCTATTGCTTTTGCATACTGCTGCTGTCTACCTGTTAGGGAGATGGGGCAGGCACCCCCGGCATCATGTCACAGAAGCAAAGTGCGACTCTACAGGGTGAAGTGACTTAGAAACAACGGGGAGAGCTGGAGCTAGAATCCAGATCTTCCTGCTGCAATAGCCAAGCATCTCATTCTGCACTAACAGGCCGCAGATAAGCAGCCGCCCCGTCTCTTCCTTATCTCAGGCCAGCACTGGCCGCCACCGTTCTGGGACTAGCGTGTGCACAAGCCCACAGCCCCGTAGGCAGGCTAGGGATGTTGAGAATGCCCAGGGGTGTCCGCACCCCACCCCACGGTAGTAATTCAGTGATGTGTCTCTGCTGGTGACTGTGGGAGTACGCTGGGGCTGAGGAGCTGCCACGGCGGAAAATCGGAGAAGGCGCACTTCCAGCACGCAGGGGATCCGGCGGCGTCAAAGCGGAAGGGCCTCCCAAGGTGGCTACATTCGCATCTGCCTCGCCCCGCAAACTTCCCCGCTCCAATCTAGAACCATGCATTTCAGGCCTGGCAGGAAACCCAGCCAGATGCCGGCAGGGAACAGCTTGAAACGCTCCTTCCACTCTTGAACCCGCCCCATCGCCTACTGATTTCTGCCTGCCCTTCCAACCGGCAATCCAGCTACTGGCCCTTTAAAAACCGTGTACACCGAAAAAAACAAAATGACGGATGCCCGTTCTGACCAATAGGCGTCCGAGGACGACAACCTAGGGCCAATCGTAGCACGGTTCATCCGGAAGCCCGAAGTAAGCGGGTCACCAGCTCAGAACTCACCGTCGTTGCAGAAGCCTCGTCATTGCCGTTGCCGGTGCCGGACATGGCTCCGCTCAGGCAGTAGGCCAGAGGTGCCGCCAAGGTACCCGGGTCCGGAGAGGCCGTGGGCTCCGGCCGGCGGGAGCCCGGGGCACGTGGGCCCTGAGCCCGTCCTGCGGCCTCAGACTCCGGGCCTGCACGGGGCCCGGCGTCACTTCCGCGCCCGCCCTCGGAGGGGAGGGCCCCGTTCTGGGCGGGAGTCGGAGCTGTTGCGACAGAGCGGCCCTTACCCTCTGCGCCGCTGCCCACTGCCCCGGGCTCTCCTGAGGGGAGGTTCCCGCCTTCGAGACCCGGGCGGGCCTGCTGATGCAAGGGCTGGGCCGGAGTCCCAGCTCTACCCGTGAAGTAAACTGTCTTCCCAGTGGTCTTCTACGACCCCCCGGGGGACCGTGAGGCGCGGGTGGAAAAGGAGCACCCATGCTCCCCGGAGCGGCCTCTCCCCAGTTACTGCAACTCACCCAGCGCCGCTTTTGCGCTGTCCAAGCCTAGCTTTGCTGGGACCCTGAAGCAAGCCGCATTTCTATTCCTTTATTAAATATGTGGCTGGGCCTTTTTTTTTTTTTTCTTAAAGATTTATTTGAAAGGCAGTTACGGAGAGCGAGAGGTCTTCCATCCGCTGGTTGACTCCCCAAATGGTTTCAATGGCCGGGGCTGCGCCCATCGGAAGCCAGGAGTCTCCCACGTGGGTGCAGAGGCCCAAAGACGTGGTCATCTGCTGCTTTCCCAGGCGCATTAGCAGGGAGATGGATCGGAACCGGAGCAGCCGAGACTTGAACCGGCGCCCACATGGGATGTGGCGCCGCAGGCGTCGGCTTCACCCCCTGCACCAGGGGGCCGCTCCAGCATTTTTCTTTTTTGTTAAACAATGATTTTATTGCTTGGTACATAGACGCGTTTACGCCATCAGGGCGAGGCTGTGGATGGCTCATATTTCCGATCGGAAGGGAGGACCTGTTTAGTTTGTAGTTTCGAGCCAGTCGGTGAACTTGGCTGTCAGAATCAGGCGAATTTAGCATCCTTATTCTTTGTTCCTTTCAAGGTGCTTTTGAACGGCAACAGCTTTCTTAATGAAATGACAGGGATGCTCCGTAAGATCAGGGGCGAGACCCCTGCACTTCAGGATTCTCAAGACTTCACTGCCTGTCTCAAAACGCACTTGTGTGGCTCACACCGATCTGTGAGGGCGCCAGGCCCTTTCTGGCCAGTTGCTAAATCTGCTCCTTCACGTCCTCAGCCGTCAGCTTCAGTCAGGTGGGGACAGGGCAGGGCCGACTGGGACAGGCCCTTCCCAGGACGTGCACACGACCCATGACGGCGGTGGACAGGCCGCAAAACAAACAACAAAAACGCATTTCTGTTTTTCACATGAGGAAATATGTTCACAGAAATTAGTCATGCTTAGAGGCTGCACCTCTGAAGCACTGGGGTTAAGCTGCTGCCTGCAAAGCTGGCATCTCACAGGAGTGCCAGTGACCCCATCCAGCTCCCTGCCAACATGCCTGGAAAAGCAACAAAAGAAAGAAAAGCCTGGGCTTGGGTCCCTGCCACCCAGTAAAGACCTCAGTTGGAGTTCCTGGCTCCCGGCCTTGGCCTGGCCCAGCCCTGGCTGTTGCAGCCACTTGGGGAGTGAACCAGCGGATGAAAGAGCTTTGTCTTTCCTTCTCTCTGTAACTTGCCCTTCAAATAAATAAATCTAAAAAACCCATAATTATGAAGTGGGAGCTAACAGCACTGTTGTTGGTGGAAGAGAAGGCTTAGCTTCTCCAGTAGTGTCACAGTCGTGAACTGAGCAGCTGTGTGCGAACCCTGGGCCCCAGTTTACCGCTCAGGCCTTTATGACCCCCATGCACGCCCTGCCCTAAGTGAAAAGCGCCGCTGGGACTCAGACCCAGGGGAGCTGGTCCAACGTGTACTCACGGTCACTACAGTACTGCTTCTATAGTGTCACAAACACCACAGCTGCCTTCAACTTAAAACACCCATGTCAATAAACACCCTGTAGGAAGACTACTCTCACAGGAAGTGTAACCCAAATTCCACAGCAGCATCAGCTTCAGCTGGCTCCACAGAAGGCCTTTTCTCCTGTTCATCACCAGGTCATGAGGCCAGCAAGACAGCAAGAACGCCTTAGGAAGGGAGGCTGAGCCCAAGGCTTCCCCCAGAATCTGCCTTCTATTGAAGGCAGAATATCTGACCCAAACATGAGGCAGAGACCAGCGAGACGAAAGAGCAAGAGGCATTCTGGGTGCTCAGTCGTTAGGCTTTTGCAGAGTGCTCAGTGAAGCAGAGGCCATAGGCCTCACGCACACCACAGTGAGGTCTCAAGTCAACACGACCTGCAGGGGCTCCACAGGAAGGAACTGGAGTCTAGAACACAGGGAAGTACATTAGGCACAGCTACGAACCACCAGGAAGTCCCCGGAAAAAATCCTCCACCCCCCCAAATCATGATATTCGTTTATTTATAGTAAGGACCCAAGCACAGCCTGGTGCTCTTGGGTGCAGAATAAAGCTGCTATTGTCCACACGCAGAGGTTGCCGAGGTGCCCGCCCCCGCGGGCCTGAATGCTCTAACTGCTCATCAGCAGGCGGGAGGGGCCTGCAGGACAAGGCAGGAAAAGAAGGCCCCTGGGCTCCTTAGCTGTGGGCACGTCTGCCTAGCCTTCCACGCAGCCGCCTCAGTCGCACGTCGGTCCGCTGGGCCTCCGCGGTCACCCGCTTTCTCACGAGCTGCTTAAGTGCCCCTCCTGGAGTGCATGAGCAGGTCCCGCTGCAGCCCCGCCTCCAGGCTGGGGGGCAGTCTGGCTGTGGGCGGGTCGGTCAGCAGAGTCAGTTTATTGAAAACACCTCTGCCAAAGTAGTCGGCAATCACAGAGAAGCTGTCGTTGGAGCACTTGAGCTGCAGGAGAAGAGGGAAGAACAGTAACAGAAGTGACATTTCTTAAATGAGGAGAGGAGCCAAGCCCCGCAGTGCCCCAGGGACTCTGTGACACTGGGGGATCCCCTGCCCCACCTAGCCCACTCATCCCACCTGGTGCTGGAACTGATCGTGGAGATCTCGTTTCTGTTCCTGGGCCCGAATCATATCCATGACCTTCCGGTTTTCTGGGAGGCAGGTGGGGCAGTCGGCATCACTTTCGGAGTAACTCTCAAAGCAGTGCTGGTGGAAGGAGTGGCCACACAGGAAGTGCACCGAGGGCAGCTCCAAGGCACTGTTGCAGATGCTGCACTTGGTCTTCTGGAAAATCTTCGGACTACAGGCAAGGGAGACCGACAGGAGCGGCCGAGAGTGAGGGCAGGGCCACAGCCCGGGGGGACAGAGGGTGGCTGGAGGACACTGGGAGCGGTCCCTGTCTCGCTCGTCTCACCTCAAGGGAGGCGGCTGAGGACGGCAGCCCTGGGGCTGGAGTGAGCCTCTGCATGCTCTGGGCAAGCCCGAGTCACCTCCGGGGACAGTTTTCTCAAGTGCCAGGAAACTGCCTTCCAGGTCTGCACTCAGCTGTGACCCTTTGGGGGAGGCCTGTCCTGGGCACCTCATCTAAAACTGTCACACACACTTCTTCCCCACTCTCCCTCCATTTTCTCCTCAGAACCTGCCACCACCTCACACACTAGAAGAGTTGGCCTACCTCAGGGCTTTCTGTCTGTGTCTCCCTCTTCGACATGAGTGCCATGAAAGCAGGGCCTGGGACGTGATCCAGGCACAGTAAATATTTGTGGAATCAATAAATTGTTGTTCTCTAATAAACGTTTTACAAGGTTACGCGCACATAAGACTAAGAGTCGGGTTTGACATGTAACTAATCTGCTTCGTGTATTTTTTTTTTTAAGATTTATTTTATTTATTTGAGAGGTAGAGTTATAGACAGTGAGAGGGAGAGACATAGAGGTCTTCCTTCCGTTGGTTCACTTCCCAAATGGCCGCAACAGCCAGAGCTGTGCCAAGCCGAAGCCAGGAGCCAAGAGCTTCTTCCAGGTCTCCCATGTGGGTGCAGGGGCCCAAGGACTTGGGCCTTCTTCTACTGCTTTCCCAGGCCATAGTAGAGAGCTGGATTGGAGGAGGAGCAGCCGGGACTAGAACCAGCATCCATATGGGATGCCAGCACCGCAAGCGGAGGATTAACCTACTTGCACCACGGCGCCAGCTCCCACTTCATGTATTTTCTAAAGCCAAGCTCAGAACAGATTCTAATCCCAACTTAGATGTGTGTTTAGAACAACTAGAAAATAAGTAGAGAGAAAGTAAGTACTTGCTACAAGATAATATCCCCCAAAGCCCCATAAATAATGATCTGTGTAATAAGCTATTCTGGAATTCCTCCATTAAAACAGATCTTCAACACAGAAGACAAATACTGCATGTTCTCCCTTGTTATGTGGGAGCTAAAATTTTTTTAAAAAGCTTGTATTAGTTTTGTTGCAAATATTTTATCAAATTTTGTTTTCAATCTGTGTCAAATTGATAGGAATGATATACTACCATAGTTTAATGATTTCGTAACTATTTAAAATTTATTTTATGGGGCCAGATAGCACATGGGCGCCAGCTCACGTTGAAGCTGCTCCACATCTATTCCAGCTCCCTGCTAATGGCCCGGGAAAAGTGGGGTAGGATGGCCCAAGAGTCTGGGCCCCCCTGCACCCATGTGGTAGACTCAGATGAAGCTCCTGGCTCCTGGCTTTGGCTTGGCCCAGTCCTGGCCATTGCAGCCATCTGATGAGTAAACCAGTGGATGGAAAATTCCCGACTCTAACTCTTTCAAATAATAAGTAAATCTTTAAAAAATAATTAAACAAAATAAAATTTAGGGGTTGGCACTGTGGCATAGTGGGTAAAGCTGCCACTGGCTCTGCCAGCATGCCATATGGGTGCCAGTTTGAGTCCCGGCTGCTCCACTTCTGATCCAGCTCTCTGCTGTGGCCTGGGAAAACAGCAGAATATGGCCCAAGTCCTTGGGCCCCTGTACCCACATGATAGACCCAGAAGAAGCTCTCGGATCCTGGCTTTGGATCGGCCCAGCTCTGGCTGTTGTGGCCATTTGGTTTAAGAGTGAACCAGCAGACGGAACACACAGACCTGCCTCTCTGTAACTCTGCCTTTCAAACAAATAAACCTTTAAGAAAAAAAGTTCTGAAAAAAATAAGTAAAATAAAA